GCCATAAACTGGAACATAGTAAGTTCTATAGAAAGTTCATAGGAACTACTTTACAGCGAGGGTGACAGAGCACTGGGTCGTGCATTTCAGCAACAATGCTGTCATAGCCACTGTGGAACAAGTGAGTCACCTCCACTGTTGCAGATTGTTCAAAGTGCAGCATGTAGGCTCTTGTTCATCGTTGGCAAAAATGCATAGCTAATAGCGGTGACTGTACTGAAAAACAGTGTTTTCTAGCTGAGAATTTGCTCTATTACACACTGTGCTCCTTGTATTATAGTTTCCATGGAAATAAAAAGGAGGCATTACTTTTAGAGCGACCTGTGTAGTTACTGGAATGTTAGTCTATGTTAAACTGTGTTTAATAATTTTGTAATGAAGTATAATAGACATTGAACAGAATAAGTGAAACTTCAGTTTCCAGTCTTTAATGAATTTTAGTAATTTAAAAAATTTTAGTTTTTATTGGTGTGTAACACTAGTGCTGTGACAACAAATCACACCTGTGTACTAGAGCATACATCAACATTATGATGTAACTTTACTTACACCACTGCTATGTTTAGCTTTTTGAAAGAGACATAAGCATACACTACGGTCACATCAAATAGTTTTGGTTTTTTTTCCTCCATTTAGTAATACTTTTAAAATTAGAATCATTGAAAAAAAAATTATACAAGAATAACTATAAGGAATAAACTCATAGGGACTGCTATGACAAACTTTTTTTTTTTTAAGGGCTGAGAGACATTAATATAATATTGACAAAGTTGATTGAAAAGAATGACTAACTTTTTCCAAATGGAAAATGCCCACTTCTGCTTATATGTTGTGAAAAGAAATTCAGTAAGTTACTTTTTGACCTTGCTATGTCACAAAGTCAATCAGACAAAAAACTACACATTTAACCTAAAATGATAGATTTATAAACAAAAATATTATGCAAAACTTTGATCAATTATGCAGCTGCTTTAAAACCGTTGCAAGACCATACTTAATATATTAGCTTTTATACTAATGCACAACAAACAGCAAACTTGATTAGAGTAACACAAATTTGTCTTAATTGCACCATTATATCACACTAAGACAACAAATGCCACAAGATTAGTAAAAATACATAGTTCTGATTCTCTCAAATGCCAGGATAATTATGTTGAAACTCCTTCATGTGAAAAAAAAAAAAAAAAAAAACAAAACAAAACAAAAAAACCCCACATACTCCTGCGGTTTCATATTACCAAAAAAAAAAAAAAAAAAAAAAAACAAAACCCAAAACCTTCTGTAACACATTATTTGGGAGAGGAATAGTTTATACTATCCGTAGCAGAAATGCTAAGTCATAGCCTGAAACAGTGATGGAGCACCTGGTGGGAAGGCAGGGCCCAAAGGAGCTCAGGTGCAAGTAATGGACTAGAATGGGTAGAGCCAGGATCCAACCTCTCCTAGACCTCATTTAAGGTTTGGCAGTGGAGGTAAAGGTATTTCTTTGGAGATCCCTGCCTATTTCAGGTCTTTTGAATGGGTGGGGGTTGTAGATGTGCTTGTTGCACTTCGGCTTATTCTCATTTGTTACAGCCTTGGACTCTGCTATTCCATTGTTATTGCTGTTTTCTATCATGTTATAGTATTACACTGTATAACACAAAGTAACTTATACAACTAGTGTCAAGGATAAGTGAAAAAAATCTTCTAAATATATGTATTTTGACATTTTAGCAACAGAAGCACATATGTTGTATTAAATACAGTCAAGGTAAGGTAATGTTCTTGTTAACAGAAACAAGAAAGAAAACGGAGAGTACTTATTATAATTAGTAGCCCTTTTAAAGAAAATGAAGTAAGGGGAAAAAGCCTCAAACTATTTTTTTTCCAATAACAGAGTTTCCATTTGTAGTTTTTCCATCCATAATTTTTTCTGATAAAGCACATCCATTAGAATGTTCAGAATCTCATAGAATGGCTAGGTTGTTCTTTTCTGAATCTAATTTTCAAGTTGGTTTTGGATGTTTTAAACTGACACTATTATGAATGGAGAAAAAGTAAGGCGACAAATGGACTTTCTATTATCTCCAAACTTAGCCCACATGACAAACTTTTTTAAAAGTTATCGTAATCTTTTTTGTCTTTTTTTCCCTCTGCTTCAAATCCATCAACCCCATCACTGTCCCTTCTCCTTTTACGATTGTTATGGGTGTTGAAGCGTTGATTTATCTGTGGTAATGGATCCATTCCTAAAACTTTGTGAATTTGACGGAACGCAAGGAGTCTCAGTGCAAACTACAAAAAGGGTAGAGAAGATATTTTGGTTAGGAATAAATGTCAGTTTTGAGTATTCTATCAAACAATGAAGAACTGGTGTAAGATGGTATTATTCTTAGCGCTTGCCATTTACCTCCTTCCTTCCCGTAACTGAGTCAACACAGTAATATGTGCGTGTTTCATTTCCTGCTTCTGTATGGATGAAGTCCAGCATCTCTACTTCAGCATAATGTGTTTTAGCTGTTGGACTTAGCACATGTTACTGTGTTGACTTTGTTGCAGGAAGGAAGGTAGGTATCAAGAGCTATCGGCACTATCAAATTTACTTTACACATACATTCCTTTACCTGTGCACTTGAAGTAATATCCTCTCGTTGCTGATCTGTCATTACAGCAAGTGCATCAAAAGGATCTTTTTCACAAGGGTCCAGAATGCCAGGACCACCTAGAATGGTTAGGATAATTAGTAGCACATCTTTACCTTATCTTGACCAAGATTTGAGATTTCATATTCAGCGTAAGTATACAGACTGATAAATTTCAACTTGCCTTTAAGGATGATTCCTGAAGATATACACTCAAAAACTCTTCTAAGTGCATCCCCAGGACTCTGTGGTCCAGTAGCGCTGCTGATTGCTTTTTCCACAAGCAACTCCATAGCCTGTAACAACAATAATAAAAACCAGTTAGAAGACCAATTAAAACAGGAAGAAAAGCTGCTCCTGTTGTTCAATGCAGAACTTTTGACATAGAAATTTTGAAGAACATTACACATCACAGAACAATTTCAGTTAAAATGGAAAAAAAAAACAAAAAAAACACCAACAAAACTCGTAGTTTTTAAAGGTAAATAAAAAGAAAGCCGGTGCAAGATTAACGCTGAGTACCAATACTGACATTCCTCTTCTCATCATAGGTTGTTCAAAAGCTTTTTTTTTAAATTTATACAGTAGTAGCCTACATATGCAGGTAGCCAACTTGTCCGAAAATTTGAGAATCCATGAAAAATGATGGGTTATCTGAATCTGGCAGTCATATGAATAAACAGTACACAGTATCTAATAAGGTAAACACAATATGGTGAATAATTTTTTTTTCTTTTTTTTGCTATATGAACACACTCAAATCATCAAAAGCATAATGATCTTTTGAAGTTTAATTTAAATGGTTACTAGTTCCTCAGTTTAACAAAACTGAAGTTCATAGTAAATTTTTTTCCTTGGATATAGGCTAATACTAATTCAGATGTTAAACAAGTATTTAAAAAAAAACAAACAAACAACTCTTCCTGATTAACGAAGTTTCAAAAATTAACACATCAAAAATGGTTAATGATAAACTATATTTTAAATACTGTTTTTTTTTCTCTGTGATAATCTCCATTGTTTGCTTTTATTAGACACTCTTCAAAAAAAAACTGTAGAAGTTATTTGTAATAGTAAAGAATAGCTTTTCTTAACTTTTTCAGCTTAAACAGATATTTCAATACCACTTCATTTTACACTTTTTCAAATGTTGCATTTTATTTTCACTTTCTAAGAATAAATGGCTACTCTGGTACATGCAAGTAACTATAGACAGTATTGATTACAATTCTTCATTAAAGGTGCTCCTTCTTATGTTTTTTAGCTCAATTTAACTGATAAATTTCAATTCCTGAGCATGGCATTAATGCAATCCCGCTATATCACTCTGGATCAAGCTTTTGAGTTCTATCAACAGTAATTTAGTTATTTTCAAGTATAAAGCAAAAAACAGCAGTAAAGAAATAAAGAAAGAGATCATGTTTTTGGATTTATTCAAGTCTAGCCCAGAATTTAATCTGAAGAGAATTAATTACATTGCCCTGGTGTTTGTGTGCATGAAACGCTAGATTTCAAGTCTGGAAAAATCAGTCTTGAATAATCATTCCTTCTAACTTGTAAGAAATTGACAAATTTCTTGAAATTTAGTTTTTATTTTTTAGGTATATGAGGAGGCTGTTTCTAATGTCTGTTTAGACTTCTTAAGATTTTATAACATTAGAAAAACTTAGGCATCTTTTGCAAAGCTCCTTCGCTCATTATGGGTTTCTAGCATACAGGTTGGGAAAAGTTCTGTATCCAGAAAAATATATTTCTTCAGTCTATGAATTTCTGCCCGTGACTAACATAAATTATACATTTTTTAAAATTGCTATTTTTCATTCTGTCATTTCTTTTCTTAGTAAGACTTTGCCAGTAGGCCAGAACAACTGACTACACAGACTTCAGCACTGATCCATGTAACTTGCAATGCATCCTGTGCCAGCAGCAAAGCATGGAGCACTCTTGGAGAGAACTGAGACACATCTAGGCTCGACGCACACCTCTGTTCCCTTCAGGATGTGCGTTAGAACAGACAATGTGACAAAGAGGAAACAACACTACTCGTTCTTTATCTATATGCCTGATGTGTGTTGCAATGACTGTAAGGATGCTTTTCTATAAGTATACCAGGGTTTATTCTTTGGCAATTGAGTATCATGGTAATAGTTAAGAGGACAGTTGCATACTTTTTTTTTTAGCTTCTATTAAGTTATATTTGTACAGTGTATATTTCAGAAATGTAACAAAGAAACTGGCAATATATATATATTTCTATAAATACTTAAAAAAAACCATAACTTTTGCTACATTTTCCCAGAAACAATTAATATTATCAGATTAAATAAACTTGTCTGCAAGCCTAATACAGCTGTAAAACATTTCTCGTTCAAATAATGCCAATCACTGAAACTGACTTGCCAATGCTAGCGTTCTTCCTGCCAAAATTGAAAAGTTGACATTGAGAAGCAGCACAGTGTAACAGGATTTGGTCTGTGAAACAAACTAGTTTATGTATATACTGTACACGCTTTTCAGAGATTTTATTTCAGACAAATTTGGTCAGGTCCACACATTGCAGAATAAATTACACTCCTGGAGAGCATCTTCTAAAATAGACAATAAAAAAAAATGCTGCAAGAAGACTCAGCTGCAAGAATTATGAGATGGTAAATGGGTTCAATATAGAGATCTGTTTCTAAGTGACACTGATTAAGATGATTATTTTGACACATCCACTGACTAATCATCGAATCCTTAGAGTTGGAAGAGGCCTCTGTGTCATGGTTCTATGTTTTTTTTTTTTATTTTTTGTTTTTGGGTTTCAGTATTCCACATCAAAACATCATGTAGTGTACGGGGCATTAAAGTGTCACTGCCCCAATTCCAGGTACCTATCCCTGTACATTACAGCAGTCACGGGATCTGGCCCTTCCGGGTGGGGGGGGCGCTCTCTTGCTGCCTTGCAGTGGGTGCTGGAGGGTGCTTTCCTAGCTGTTCCAAGCTTTTCAGGTTTGAATCGGTCCCGGGAACTCTCTCTCTCATCTTGTCTGATTTATTCATCTCAATTTCAATTAAATTGTATATATTGTGTTATCTTGTATTCCGATATTATAGTAAAATAAGTTTTCCTCCATAGATTGCTGCCGCTGCTCTTTTCCTCCCTTCCTTCCTTCCAATTTTTTGTGGGACTGGGGTGGGGTGAGGGCAGAGGCCTGTCGCCCCTGTCATGGACATAGATTGATCTGATCAACTCCGTGACACTCTGAAGGCCATCTAGTCTAGCTCCCCTGCAATGAACAGGGACATCCACAGCTAGATCAGATTGCCCAGGGCCTTATCCAGCCTCACCTTGAAAGTCTCCAGGGATGGGGCATCAACTACATCACTGCACAACCTGTGGTATTTCATCTTATAGAAGGGTCATATTAATGATTGCAGAATTACTGTGATTTGTTCTTTAAAGAAGCCTTTCTGTTATCACAGAAGTATCTGGGCACAGGAGACATCATTTTAAATCAGTTTCAGTAAAGTTCAACTTCTAACCACCAGAAAAAAAAAATAGATTTCTTTAAATACAGTTTAAGCAAAGAAACAAGCACCTAAAATCAGGATGTTACCCACAAAAAACAAACAACAACAACGACAACAAAAAAAGAAAATTCCTTTGGGAAAAAAAACTCAGAAAATTAAGTCTTTAGAGGGACTCTACATTCCCTCTAAATTAAAAACGAAAAAACAAGAAAACATACTACCTGTTGAAAAATCTACATTTAACTGCAGTAACACTTTCCAGTGCCCTACTTGTAGTACCATGTGCTTTTAAAAAGACTCATTCAAAATAATATTACTCACCCAGCTTGGAAAATCAGACCAAGTTGGAACACGCTGACAGAGGTCACGAAGAATACGTATGATAATCACACAGGACTGCAGACCATTAGCTCTAGCCTCAAGAGCAATACAAAATCAAATTAATCAAGCCCAGCACCTACAGCAATGAGGACTTGTTGAAAGACTAAAACACCACCGTGCAATGGAAGCTCACATGCAAGATTGAAACAAATCATTCTACAAGTTTATTCCATGAGCTGCCATTTACAGCAGTATTTTATGCAGGGTTAGTAATTTAAGGTGATAAAAGTCAAAGTGCCCAGGTTATACAAGAATAACATTTCTTGATCCCCTGTACGCTTTGACCTATGGTCACTTGTAACAATACATACAGTATATTTCAATATTAGAAATAAAAAGGATAAAGTAAAGGCCTCTAACAAGTAGGTATAGAGACTGAAAGGTCAAGGGAATCTGTTTGGTTTCTTTATTGTGCCTTTGCCAGAACACAAAGTCACTAAACCAGACAGCTGCTTTTCACCTTTCATTCCCTACACTTAGCGTACTTAAAGAAATAGGAAAAAAAGTCTTAAATCTAACACAAAGTTTTAAACGCATTCCATTATTTAAAGCAAAGTTACTCTGCAGCCTTATGGAAAATATAACAAATATACAATATATGATCACCCCAAGTGAGTCAAACTTTCAATCGTCAGAAAAAAGAAATCATGTCAAATATGTAATAACTGCATAAAGCAGTTCCTCCATCCTCAACCTTCTACATTTTAATTTAGGGACCAGAAGAATATGGAGTTAATTAGCATGAATAACTCTGAGCATTTTCACACAATTAAACACTTATATTGCAACTGAACTAATCTCTCATAAGGCTACAAGAAGAAAGTAAAATGATGTTCCGAACCTGGAACCACTTAGCGTGGCGTAGAGCAGCCAGAGCGTCAAGGCATTTTTGCCTGTCCAAGACGTCCGGTGGATCTTTCACCATACCCGAGGTTACATCTAAAATGAATTGAATTGGCAAAATGCAGTGAGGAATGGGTGTTTGACCAGGCAAGACACTTCCTTAAAGTAGCTTCCATGTCACACGTGCCATTTGAAGTTTAAACCCTTGAACAACAAATGTAAATGTTCCATGAAAGGTATTCAATTAGGATTAGGGCATCAACCCAGCATGAAAATGAAGAGCATAATATACTTAAGCTCTCAGGTTATTTTCAAATGCACTGCAGATTATGCAATGCCTAGTGCTTCTTTATTTAAGCTACCACTGGAAAAATACATATCCCCTAAAACTAAATACTGAAGGAAGGATGGTTGGACACAGTGCACTAGCACAGAGAACACAAGACAGAAGGAACACAAAAATCCACTTTACTCAAGTAGAAACATTCAAAATTAGTTTCTTGTGTATTTTAACTGTCACCTGTAATTTGGGACCTCGTCCTCAAAAGAAAAGTATAACAAATCTCAAAAGCACTAGTTGTTTAGTAACAATGTTATTTTTATTAATCTTATCCTTAGAATGTAATGATTTTGCTTTAAAAGCTGACTAAAGGAATCTGAAACATTCTTCAGTATTACAGAGTTCCACTACTTTCTAGTACCCTCTCTTACTCAGACAAATTCCTCAACTCATGATATGTGTGCTCCAATGTAACGGGATTCAAAGAAAGATCTGAAAAGGGACTACTTAAGATTCTTCATCGGGAAAAAGAAAAAAACTGTTTAAAAACAAAGCAAAATGTCTGAAAGATAAAGAAAATATAAAAGATCTCAAATTAAATATTCAGAAAATTATTTACTTAAGTTACCAAGCTGATCGCTTTGTTACCTAAATGGAAGAGATCACAAGGCCATTTTGGAAATGGTTTAACCAATTAAACAGGAACCACTGAACAATGTGAAATAGTATCTTCAGATTACGTAAAATTGTAAGTATATAATGTAGCTATCAGCCTCAGAAGTTCTTTCTTTTATTATTTATAAAAGTGGCTAAAGTGACTAGTAACAAAGAATACTGATAGCATAAATGGGAATATACCAGATAAGAAAAAACAAAAAGGTCTCTATGAATGCAATTCATTTCACAGGACTTGGCTATAAGAAACAATATAGTCTATTGCATTTTATATGATATTCTTATTGCTCTGCACAGAATTAAAAAGAGAAAGATTTCAAAATAAGAACCAAGTTGAGAAGAATACATCTTCTTGCACAAGGCATTTACAGAGCAAATGAAGACATTTAAAGTGGTATCATTTAAAACTAACAAGCCCAAACACACAAAACAAAACCTGTACAAGAGAGGTGCCAAGTAAGATAATTGATGAAATGAGTGCAACTTGGATATCAGAGACACTCGGATATTAGGTACACTCAGAAAAAACTCACAGAAGGAAAACAAGTGGCAAAGTAAGACTGAGAAATTTAAAGTAAAAATGTGGGTTTGTTGGGCCTATTAGTCTCATCAGTCAATTATTTACATTCTTCTAAAACTAATATGTGAATAGGTGACACTGCAAACTTTTAGCACAATAATTCACTACATAATTTGAAATTCCACTTACTTGACTTCTAGCTCTGAAAAATGACAATTTGGAAAATAATTTTACTAAAAACGATTACATTGAAAGTGCACAGAAGAAAATCTTGTTCAGTGCTGGAATTGTCAATCTAAAGTGTGCTACTAATATTAGAAATCAAATTAATACCTTTGAAAGTTAAAAAGACTGAAAGTCAGAAGTTGCTAAGGTACCTCTATTGCACTGAGAATATATTGATTGTAAAACAAAATAAGTAAACTCTTGTAATATTTAATCTGTGGATTTTTGCACCTGTTTCACATTTTAAGATTAACCCCTTAAAGACTATTTAAATAAATTCAGATTCCTATACTACCACCCTGTTAAGCTAACACACAAAATTGAATTAATTTACAAAACACAATCACAGATTCTCAACCTATGTAACATATTTATTACTAGTTTAAATATAAGGGGTTAATCTTCAGGTAGACATGCCGTGTCCACACTACTTCTTCATTAAAACTTCACAGGTATATAAATTTTGTTAAATTTTATTATGTGAAATACTTATTAGCCATTCAACCGTTTCAAAACTAGCGTGAACACTGCTTAATTCTAGGAAAGAGACAAAGACAAATAGAAAAGAAAACAAAACAAAAATCAAACACAAAGTAACAGTAAATGCTAGGACTATGCATCCAAACTCCCTCCTTTGTAAAGTATGGCAGGTGTGACACCGAGCTTTAGAAAACCTTGGTCAAAAATCCTTCCAATGTCTTGGCAGCAACCCCTGACAGGAATCAAGTCCCTCTGCTAGAAGGCTTTGGACCAGGACTGTTAGCTAAGGATAAAACAAAACAAAACAAACACAAGTGCATACATATATGTGTTTATAAAAATGTACGCTTTGCTTGCTGAAGGAAAGATTCCACAGAAGGTGTTAAAGAACTTCAAATATTTCAGATTTGTTAAACTGTCAAACACACAATACACAGTTGTTTTTTTAAGCCTTTTATCATGTAATGAGATTATTACCCATCACACGATTCTACTCCATGTGCAAGTCTCAGTCTCATCTTTACTCAAATTGGTTCTGCCAGTAAAGTCTTCCTTATCACCTGAACCAACTCCTCAAGCAAGCTAAAAAACTGAAAACTTTAAACCGTTATAAGACAAAGAGCATGAAAAGCCACAGTAAGAAAAAAAAAAGCACAAATAGACATTACTTTGTAGCAAATAAGCAACAGTCTTCATAAGGCCTTCTTTGCTGCAATGATTTGCAATACCGTCTTCTATTTTCTCTCATTTCAAGAGTGAACTTCACTGCACATTCATTTTATACTGCTCAGTGTCTTGCAGAGAAATCTAACTTGATTTTGCTTGCCTAGAGGTAGCACTGCATTCAACAGTGAATAAACTCAATGATCATTTTAACTTGTGTGGGTCAGACAAAAATACAGATTTGTTTCCTTTAGGAGGCATAAATTAAGGGATTGATTGTAGGCATTTGAAATTTAATTTTAGTCTGTATCATAAAATTTTAGGCCAGAAACAATTCAACTGAAATTGAGTATTGTGGTAGAATCAATACTGCACTTTTGTACAGTACATTAAAGAAATTAACATGGTGTTTAAGGTTAACTTCTAATGATTAATCTAATTTAATAATCAAAGGTCTTAAGGGAAAGTATTCTTTATGAATGTAAGCAATATGCAAAGTCTGATTCAGCACAGACAAACCAAGAGTCATGTTACGCTTAAGACTGCCAAAAAACTAGTATTGGTTGGGTGTGACAGTACATGTACAAAAAGTTTATAGTTAGGTATGATATGCAGATTAAAAATCATGTACAAAGCACTCAAAGACTCTTCAGAAGTCATCCAAATTACAGAACACATCTTGAAAATTTTATTTCTGATTATGCAGGATGACTTTGTTAACACAGTTTGCTTATGATGCACTAGTCACAGGTAGAGAACATTCACTAATGCAGTATAAAAACCTGAAATATTTTAGAGGACATGTAAAGATGAGATGAAATTAAAAAAAAAAAAAGTGGTTTATACAAATACATTTATACACAAGCACATGTATACATAAATACATACAATTTTTGCAATCTGCATGAGAGGCATTAATATAACCTCAAATTCCCTATTTGTAGGTTCATGGTCAAACACTAGAACCCTGTTTGCCACAATGTCTTTCAACTATGAAAATACAGGATTAAGAGGAAACAAATGTTATTTTAACTGACCCATAAACAAAAAGAACCAATGTACTGCAGACATTAATCATGCTTGTTGGCTTAAAAGATTTTGGAGCTTTAGAAGTGTTAAATAATAGACCCTAAAGCAACACTGCTGGCACCAGAGAAAATGCAGACTTCAGAAACATAAACTGATTTACAAGCTACAACTTCTGTTTCAGTTCAATTACAAATCTGTTTCTTATTGTACTAGTCAGCTTGCCAGTTGGATTGATTGTAAAACCAGGAGTCTAAATATACTCACAAAAAGCACTCCAGACTAAAAAGCAACCTCAGAGAGCTGGAAAAAATATTTTAAACTTAGAAGCACTATTACCATCAGAAGTATTAAACAAGTGCATTTTAAGTGCCACTGATCATTGGAATGCATAAGTGATGATAATACTGATCCATTTTAAATCCAAAACCACGTGATTTGGTTTTCTAAAAGGATAAAATCTTTTTCTTAGGGCAAGACTGCCCTAGAAAGCCTATAGACACTTCTGACAAAAAAGTTAGTTGTCCATGTAATTTTATGAGAGGAAAAATTAGTCAAGTTTGTACCTTTTCCAGAAAGCTGAGGTTGGACATAAAGTTAGATTATTTTTTTTTTTTAATAAATAAATGCATAATATCAGCATTTATTTTAACCAATTGTTGTTTACCAAGACTGGTTGCTGAAAAACAAGGTTTCAATCAGTATAATTTGTGCCAGCATGTTACCTTCCAGGACCTTAATGCCATCTCAAGCAGAATAGATGAACATATAAAAATACGTAAGAAAGAAGTAACATCTTTAACAACATTCCAACCTGCATCCCTCATGTTCTCCTCTCGAATGACTGGAGATGTCAGTGTGATAGTAACTTGCATTTTGGGTTCCACACATGAATTTAAAATTATTGCTGCTTCTGGGACTGCACACTTGATATCATATTTCTCAGGACTTATTACCTAAATATTGGGAAACAGATTTCTATTAGCACATGACCAAGAATAGTATGGAGAAGAAAATGGACATCAACATAGTCTTTTAAAAAGAAAGACAGAAATGCAGTAATAATTACAGAAGCAGATACTTATATATTCAAAGAAGCCACATTATATGTAATATTTATATATATACAAATATAAACATACAGGTATATAGAGATATATGGACTCACATACTGTTACCAAAACATTAATGAAAATACACAGCAGTCATCAAGCATGCAAAAGAAGAACTATCCATAAAGGAAATTAATATGCAAAGTAAATTACATAACACAAAAGGTGGAAGTAAAAGGCATATATACTGGAAACAGAGTGAAATTAATGGATAACATTGACCTTCAGGCAGTAAGCTTCCTATAACATTGCAGTAACTGGGCAATAGAAAGTCTTCCTCTGATCATTTTTATTTGCCCATTAAATAAAATTATTAAATGATGATTTATATTACAGCACTAGCATAAACACCTAGACACTTGTAAATGCACAATATACAGAAAGTAAAACATGCAGCATGGTCATGCAGCAATGGAATTTAGAGGAAAACACTCAAAATTAAAAGAAACTAAACCTGAGCTATGAAATGAAGCAGTCAGGCCTGCAGACATGTGACTTGAGGATAAATTTATTTTTTTTTAATAAATTGCATCTTTACAAAAAATAAAAAAAATCAAAAATCAAATAATAAAATCTAAACACTACTTACTGCGAGTTGTTTGGGAAGACTTTCAGCAATATGGCTGAGTAAAGCCTTTGAAGGCTTCTCAGCACATAACAGAACAAGATTGACGTTTTTGTCTCCACGGAGCAACAAACCTTTAGCCAAAACGCCTACCCGTAAAACTCCTTTCAAAGCTCTGTGAAGTAAATTATAGTTAGAAGTTGCATTTAAAATAATATGAAAACCTTAAAATTAATCCTGAAGATAGAAAAATGAAATAAAATTGGAATATCCCATCTACTCTTGAAGCCACAATCCTCATCAAAATTTGCTGTATCTAAACCAAAATAGAAAAGGACCCCTGGAAGTCACTGAGAAAGTACAAAAAAGAAACAACAAAAACATGAAATGACTTTTGGAAACAAAAGATTAATTTCTTAAAAATAAAAATACCTGTCTTTACTGCTGTCTTTTTTATCATCTCCCTCTTTGCTCTTGTTCTTTTCATGTTCAGTCATGTTGTCAGAAACAAGTTTCAAAGCACGCTCAGTAATAGAAACAATTTTTTGGACTGCCTGCAGTTCCTCCTCTGTTGGATATATTGTTGCATGTTTGGTCATCACATAGCGGTCATCAGAGGAGTCAGGGCGGCGTAGAAGCTAAATGGAGGAACAAGTATATTTTTGAAATGTGGGTACACTTCTAAGTTCACAGAATATTCAAACCTCAAATCACTTAAATGTAACAAAACATGAACTGAGAAGTCCTTAACAATTTACACTGCTCACAAACAATCATGTCTGAAGAAATATGAACTGCATCAAAATAAAACCAATTATGAAAGCTACAGATCCAAAGTACTCCTCACATAAATATCTAATGTCTTTTTATCAATCAGGGAATACTTGCATACTTATTCACTGCTGCAAAATAAAGTATCTATAGTTGCTTTCATAGAAAGAAGAATTCAAATACGAAGGGACCTCTGAAGGTCTATAGACCAACTTCCTGTGCAAACCAAGATCAAAGTGAGCTGTCTCACCACTGTGAAAAGCCCAGCCTGTGTCTTTATAAGGCACAGGCATTAGAAGGCTATGAGTACCTAGTGAAGATCTCTCTTCTCCAGGTGTCTCTCCACACAGCACACGTGCTGCAGCCCCTATCCAGTCTGCTGACCTGACACTGAAACTGCTATGATTTATCAGTCTTTCTTGTGCTAGAAAGAGACAAATTAAATGCAGTATTACAGTTTGGGTCTAATGGAAGCTGATCACTTTCCATCATCTACTGATTATGCTCCTGTTAATTTGGATCAGGATGCTGTTGGAGTTTCTTGCTGTCAGGGCACACTTGGCTCATGTTCAGCTTGCTCTCAGCCAAGATCCCCAGGTCCCTTCCAGTAGGACTGCTACCTAGCCTGTCACTCCCCAGCCTGCATCAGTGCTATTTGTCTTTGAGAATTATATTGTGTCAGCCCATTCCTCTGGCATGCCTCTGGCATCTGGATGGCAGCTCTGCCCTCAAAGGCACAGACTCTTCTCTCACCCCAAACTGATTAAGTTTCATGTCAGCTGTGAACCTGACAAACATGCACTTCATCACTTTCGGATGATTGATAAGGTATTAACAAGACAAATCCCAAGATAAACCCATGTAGTACTCCACTTGTTACCATTCTCAAGGTAGTGTAGGTCCCACCACTAACCATTATCCTCTGAGACTGATAATCTGACCATTTTTTACCCATTTATTTGTCTACAATTATAGAATCACAGAATAGTTTGGGTTGGAAGGAACTTTTAACCATCAAGAAGGTAACACTGTATAATGCAATTAAATAGAAAATTATACACAAATCCATAAAGATTTGTATTTCAGAATAATCAGTCTTTGAGGCACCCTTTTGTCATATAAGTTGACTTATTTTGGAAGACAGTTTCATTAGCATATAACTTTTTATTCACTATCCAAATATTGTATTCAGAAACACTGGAGACAGTGCAGCACTAAATGATTCATAGTCCCTAACTGTGCCTCCTGGTAAGTAAAATTTCATTTTTTTTCCTCCTCAAGAAACTCACAGCTGGTCCTTGGGGCTGAGGAGGCATTCCTGGTCTAACTCCCAGCAGGCCGAGAGGTCCTGGAGGACCATGAGGATATCCTCCATCTGGTATTCTGCGACGATCATCCCAGTGATGCTGCTCTTCCTCCATTCTCCTCCAGTACATATCTTCTTCATATCGTCTGAAGTGCATCAAAGTATTTTCTTTACATAGTTGTTAGTACTTTCAAGCATTCTAAATGAATTCTTAGATGACTTCACTAGTTTCTCTCTAGTAGTCATGTGCAACTACTAGGGAACTCCAGAAAATAAGTAAAAATGAAGCTGTTTATAGCAAAATAATTCTAGTAAGTCTACATTCCTCAGAGGAACTGAACACTAATAAACAAAAACCTCGAAGTTTTAATGACAATTTAATTTAAAACAAGACAGTAGAGTTCCCATAAAATTCAAAAGAACAAACTACAGAAGCAGTTAGTTTTAGATTAATGATCTCAGCTTTGTCTCATTTATTGATACAAATGCATTACCTCATTTCCATCCTCCAGCGTTCTTCCTCTTCTCTCCTTCTCCAGTATTCTTCTTTCTGCATCTGTTTCCTCATCTTTTCTTCTTGAATTTTTCTTGCTCGAATACTGGGCTTTACTTCTACTTGTAGATCTGGGTTTACTTTTTTCTAGTTCAGAAAAAAATAAAAAGAATGAAATGTTGGTTTTTCTCTCGTCATCTCAATGTTACAGTTTTTCTGGAATCTTTAACACACGCTGCTTGTCTACAATAAAATCAAGGGGAATAAAATGCAGTTTTAGAACTACAATGAATTAATAGTTGAAGAAATGTGTCCACTATTTTAAAGAAATAACAACATATTACAAACAGCATGAATTCCCTCCTCACCCGCATCAGGATTAAAGCAATTTAAGATGAAAATACTTCATGTAACAGGAAGTAATTTGCTGTTCATTCTGCAACTGGATGACTATTCTGTAGCCTGAAAAAAGAAACATTTCCTCTCAACTACTGCACGCTTCCTGATACTGTTCCTGAAGGATACCTCTTACAGACATATAATTATGAATTACTGAATACATTTTTTCTATTAAATATTTCCTTTCATCCCTTTCATGATTATGCAGGTCCATTACATTTCCTGTGATCACAGTAGATTCTTCCTACATAATTTTATAATAATCAAAATGCAGACTATATGTCAGTCTCTCTCATGAATGTCTCTCTCCATTCATGACTGAAAAAATATCAAACATTTGTTTCTCAAATGTCTCCACAAAGGGTTTATGTGGTCTACTCTGCCAAATACATTAAGCACTATTCTTTTACACCATTTGAAATGAATAGTAAACAACATAAATGAACCTACTGTTGCTTTCATGTCGTACCATATTTTAATGTTGCAAATGTTCCCAAAAGCTATGTTCAAAATATTATTTAAAAAAAAAATCAAAATGCATTTTCACAGTATACATTACTTCTTTAAAAGCTATACTACGAAGAAAATAAACTATAAGGTGAATGTATTTCTTTATCTTTTTATGTAATGTTTAATCATAGCACTTGCATTGGCTATTCTTTAAATGTAAGACCATGCAATTAGTCAGCTGACACCTAGTGGATTTTCAGATAGAAGCATTAGCATTTCTTCTAACCTTATACTGAAGTCTGTGTCGCCTCCCTTTTAAGTGCATCTCCTTGGCATTAGGATCATTAAAACTGCATTCACAAAGTTTACAGTGAAAGCGGATCACCTTTCCTTCATCATTTCTTACCTGGAAAATAAAATTATGACACTTTTAAAATCCAAAATTGATGTTAAAATGAAATTAATTTAGAGACAGTGGATACTGTCTACTCATCTCAACACACACTAAAAAAGTTCACTCAATAACTGAAAGAAGGCAAACTAAAAGACTTTGAGCAGATCAGCTTTAGAGCAGAAGCTCACACCAAGGGACACTTTGCAGAAAGGCAAAACCATGGCAGAAAACCATGAAAAGTAGCACAAGGAGAGCAAGGGAACCCCCTCACTCAAAGGAGTGAGAAGAGCAGAGCCCCTGATGAAAGAAGACTGACACGGTGCAGGTGGAGCCAGGAGTGACATGGCCAAATCCCTGCACATACAAAGGCAGCCCCTAGGGAGCACAGTGACCCAGAGCACTGTGATTAGGATGTGCAAACAGGGCATGGCATGTCAGTAGTGCATGGTGTGGCAGTTTACACAGGCAGGGTGAGCAGGGAGGATGCAGTCTTCCTCCCCACTTGAAGAGACCAGTCCATCTAACACCCATTGCCTTCTCAGTGGAACTAGACAAGCCATGATCTCCACTTGGAGAAAAGCCATTGCCAAGAAGACTAGTAACCCAGACTGAGCACCCATGCAAACATGCAGCTGTCTAGGTCTCTGACTGCAAGGAGTGACTGAGCCTGGCACAAATACTGAGGGGTAATGGGGATACCACCTGTGTGCAGCGTGAACAGATGGATGACCTTCTCAGCCTGGTGACACAGCTAAAGGAGGAGATAGAAAGATTAAGAGCGTGAAAGGGAAACAGATTGGTGGAACTGCTCCCTGACATCCTTGCAAGAGAGGCACCAGGACAACACTGCATTAGCAGTGGATCCCCTACCCTCTCACCACCAGGCAGAAGGAGGGGACTCGGAAGACAAGGAGGAATGGAAACAGGCTCCTGCTCAGGGTGGCAGGTGTCCCTTCTCCTAGTCTACCTCACCTTCCCAGGTGCCCTTGCACATCAGGGAAAATTAATGATGGTGATGATAGGGTTGAGAGCTTATGGGTCAGAATAAAAGCAAAAACCAATAAGACTGACATTATCATGGGAGTCTGCTACAGGCCTCCCAACCAGGATGAAGAGGTGGATGAGACACTTTATAGACAGTCGGGTGAGGTCTCAGTGTCTCTCCTCCTTGGTCTTGTGGGGGACTTCAACTTCCCAGACATCTGCTGGATTTATAATACAGCAGATAGGGAACAGACACAGAGGTTCCTAGAGTGTGTAGGAGACAACTTCCTGACACAGCTGGTGAAGGAGCCAACAAGGGGAAGCAAAATCCTGGACCTGCTGTTTGTTAACAGAAAAGGTCTTGTGGGGGATGTAAAGGTTGGAGGCTGTCTGAGGCATAGTGATCATGAGATGCTAGATTTCTTGATCCTTGTTGAACCACACAGGGGAGTCAGCAGAACTGCCGAACTGCCACTTTGAACTTCCAGAGGGCAGACTTTAGCCTCTTTAGGACCATGGTTGAGAGGATCCCTTGGGAGGTAGTTTTAGAGGGCATGGGAGCTCAGGAAGGCTGGGAATACTTTAAGGAAGTTGTTGCAGTTGCCTACTACAGGAAGTAATTTTAAAGGTGCAGGAGCTGACCATCCCCAAGGATCAGGATAAGGCTGAGGTACTTTGTGAGCGGTACTTGGTGTGGGTGGTACTCGGGCTATGGTGGGTAGGAGATACAGGGGGTGGTTCTAGGTGGTGCTTAACGGGTCATGGGTTCACGGGGTTGTCGCGTGTCACGATATATAGGCGGTTGTTGCGATGATAATTCTCGTGGAGCTGCTAGATCTGTATCACCTTTGAGATCACTGGTTAGGATTTTCATATCCGCCGGTGCCAATGGCAAGAACTGTTGAAGCCATTGTATAGCCCCTATTAAAACCTGTAAGTCATTCAGGGTTGTCACGGCCGTATCTGCCAAGATGACCTTCTGTGGCCGAATCAGGTGCTTCTCCACCAGGGTACCTAAATACTTGATAAGAAACACTCTTTGAGTCTTGTCCTCCCCCACTTTGAGGCCTCTTGCTAACAACCCCTCCCAAAGATCCTTCCCTATGTCGTGCGTTAATTTCTCCCCGGATACCAAAATGTCATACATATAGTGATACATCATGATCTGCAGGTACTTCTCTCGAAAGGGTCTCAGGGCCAAGGCAACATACATCTGACAAATGGTGGGGGAATTTTTCATACCTTGCGGTAGTACAGTCCATTGGTACCGCCTTGCCGGTTCTGCATTGTTAACATCTAGGACCATCATGGCGATCCTAGGTGAATCATCTGGATGCAGAGGAATGCTAAAGAAGCAGTCCTTCAGGTCAACTAGCAGACATTTCCAGGAGTCAGGCACCATGGACGGTAAAGGTAGTCCCAGCTGTAAAGTCCCCATATCTTGTAAAACTGCATTGACTCCTCATAAATCATGCAGCAGTTGCCATTGACCTAACTTCTTTTTGATTACAAAAATAGGGCAATTCCACAGGCTCGTGAATGGTACCAAATTCCCATAGCGACCTCCTGTTTGACTAATTCATTAACAGCTTTAAACTTTTCCAGAGTGAGGGGCCACTGAGAAATCCATACTGGGTCATCACTTTTCCAGGTCATTTTCCAGCAGGTTACTTTCTCAGCAGCCCCAACTAAAAATCCGGACCACCATCTAACTTGCCTCCACTGGAAATGCGCACATCAACAGCAGTAAGTGCGTCGCGTCCAAGCAGCGGAATCAGAATATCCATGACATATGGCCGAGTTGGGCTCAACTCCTTCCAGCTGCCATTGTCATCTTGATAACTAAGAATAACGGGATATACACTACACTGTCCCACCATAGCCCGAGTACCACCCACACTGAGTACCGCCCACACACTTAATGCCTTCTTTGCCTCAGTCTTTAATAGTAAGACTTGTTATTCCCTGGGCACACAGCCCCTTGTGCTGGTAGATAGGGATGGGGAACAGAATAGGCCTTGCATATTCCACAATGAGATGGTTTTAGACCTGCTCTGAAAGCTGGATGCTCACAAGTCCATGGGACTGGATGGATTGCACCCTAGAGTGCTGAGGGAGTTGGCAGATGTGGTTGCCAAGCCACACTCCATCATTCTTTGGCAGTCCTGGCTAACCAGAAATGTCCCGGCAGACTGGAGACTGGCAAATGTGATGCCCATCTTCAAAAAGGGCTGGAAAGATGATTCTGGTAGCTACAGACCTATCAGTCTCATCTTGGTGCCAGGGAAGGAGCCATCATGGACCAATTAAAGGTCAACGAGGGGATCAGGAACTGGGGCTGTTTAGTCTGGGGAAGAGGAGGCTGAGGGGAGACCTTATTGCTCTCTTCCAATACCTGAAAGGTGCTTACAGCAAGACTGAGGCTAGTGACAGGTGACAGGATAAGGGGAAATGGCCTCAAGTTGCGCCAAGGTAAGTTTAGGTTGGATATCAGGAAACACATCTTTACAAAAAGGGTAGTTAAGCACTGAAATAGGCTCCCCAGGGAGGTGGTTGAGTCACCATCCCTGCATGTGTTTAAAAACCATTTTGATGTGGTGCTCAGGGACATGATTTAGCGGAGGGCTGTTAGAATTAGGGTAGTATGGTTAGGTTGCAGTTGGACTTGATGATCTTTAAAGTCTTTTCCAACCTGAGCAATTCTATGATTCTATGATCAGGTATGAAGCCCTGGGACTTGAAGGACTGTTAAGTGAGGAAGGTGAAGAAAGTCCATCCAAAGGGCTGTCTAGCACGAGGCAGTCAAGCCCACGCCTCAAGACAGCCTTGGCTAAGAACAAAAGGAGCGTGATTGTCATAGGCGACTCCATTATGAGGGGAACAAGGCCTGATAAGTTGACTGGACCCTACTCACAGGGAAGTCTGCTGCCTCCCTGGGGCCTAGGTCACGGACATCACATGGAAGCTCCCTAGTCTGGTACAGCCCTCTGATTATTACTCACTTCTGGTATTTCAGGTAGGTAGTGATGAGGTTGCAGGGAGAAGCCTAAGGGCAATTAAGAGGGACTTCAAGGCATTAAGGTGGTTAATTTATGGAACAGAAGCTCAGGTGGTGTTTTCCTCTATGCCTTTGGTAGCAGGGAAAGATATTGAGGAGTGGGAAAACCCACCTGATCAATACATGACTAAGAGGCTGGTGCCATTGAAGGAATTTTGTTTTTTTTTAATCATGGGGCCGTTTACTCAGCACCAAACCTGATGGTGATGGATGGAGTCCACCTGGGTCAAAGTAAGAAAAGGATTCTAGCTCAGGAGTTGGTGGGCCTCACTAAGAGGGCTTTAAACTAGGTTTGAAGTGGGAAGGGGATAAAAACAGGCTTGCTAGGGATGAGCCTAGGGGCAGTATGCCAGGGTCAGGGGTGAAACCAATAGCCCAGCTGAAGTGCATCTACACTAAGACACACAGCACAGGCAATGAACAGGATGAGCTAGAAGCCATTATGCAGCAGTAAAACTGTGACTTTGTTGCCATCACTGAAACATGATGGGATCATTCTCAAAACTGGAATGCCGTAGTGGAGGGCTATAAGCTCTTTAGGAGAGATAGACAAGGAAGGAGGGGTGGTGGGGTGGCTTTCTGTGTTATGGAGTGTTTTGATATCATAGAGCTCAATACTGACAATGATAATGTCGAATTCCGATAGGTAAGAATCGGGGAAAGCCAACAAGGCTGAAATCCTGGTGGGAGTCTGTTATAGACCACCCAACCAGGATGAAGAAACAGATAAAGCGTTCTATAAGCAGTTGAGGAGGGGGTCAGCAAAACTGTTGCCTTGGACTTCTAGAGAACAGACTTCAAATTGTTTAGGATGTTGTTTGGGAGAATCCCTTGGGAGTCAGTCTTGAAGAGCAAAGGAGTCCAGGAAGGCTGGACTTCCCTCAAGAAGGAAGTCTTAAAGGCATAGGAACCAGCTGTCCCCCTGTTCTGTAAGATGAGCCAGAGGGGAAGAAGATTGGCCTGGTTGAAACAAGTAGCTTTTTGTTGAGAGACTCTGGGGAAAAAAAAAGAAAAAAAAAACGAAAAAAAAAAAAAAAAAAAAAAAAAAAGAGTTTATGGTCAGGTTGGATAGTAGGAAAAATTTTTTCTCAGAAAGAGTGGTGAGGTATTGAAATGGGCTGCCCATAGAGGTGGTGGAGTCATCATCCTGGAAGTGGGAATGGTTTTAAACTGAGACGGGGAGGTTTAGGTTAGATATTAGGAGGAAGTTTTTCACTCAGAGGATGGTGAGGCACTGGAACAGGTTGCCCAAGGAGGCTGTGGATGCCCCATCCCTGGAAGCATTCAAGGCCAGGCTGGATGTGGCTCTGGGCAGCCTGGTCTAGTGGTTGGCAATCCTGCACATAGCAGGGGGTTTGAAACTAGATGATCATTATGTTCCTTTTCCACACAGGCCATTCTATGATTCTATGAGGTGTTCAAGAAAGCTGTAGATATAGTACTGACTGATGTGGTTTAGCGGGCAATATTGGTGATAGGTTGATGGTTGAACCTGATGATCTTAGTGGTCTTTTCCAACGTTAATGATTCTGTGATTCTAAAACTCAATTCCACCAGAGACACTATTGTGCTTGGCAATGGAGAAAGAACAGTTTTTCCATTCCAGACACACAACTTGAACCTGAACGTATTGAGTTGAAGTTAATAATTGCAAACCTGCAAATAATGAAAAATTCACATCAGACTGTGATCCTATAGACTTAGTCCACATTTCATGCTACCAAGATGAAGAACACTGAGCTCAAAACAAACATACACAATACAAAAATGTAAACATATGCACAAGCCTTTCCAGGTTCAATGCACGATTAACAATTTTTCACCAAAACAGTTAACACACAATTTTTCATATCAGTACCTCTTCCACATAGTCATGGCCCACAGGCTGGACATCACTTTGCAAGGCAGCAATAGTTGTAGGAGTCCCTGGTTCAGTTGCTGTGTCTGGTTTTACTTCTTGTGTTTGTATCGTGGCAACAGGAGTTGTTTTAACACTTTCAACTGATTTTGTTTCTTCCAGTTTACTTCCTGTTGTCTGAAGCTTATTACCACCTACAAATCAAAATGTTTAAATTTTTAACTTTCATAAAATGAGAACTTGATTACATATGACATGCAGACTGAAGACTTTATTTGCAAGTATCAGTGTTCTGGTCACGGCATTACAAGTCTTTTAAAATTAGTCAAAAATTAAACATACTTAAATTACAAGTAATCAGATAGGGTTTTGTTTTTATATTTTTGTTCTTTTTTAATCAATGATTTTAAAAACATTCAAGTTATTTAAACAATTAATATTAGCTTTTTATTTTAGCATGAAAAACTTTATTGCTTTATATAAGTGCAATTTTCATTATTTATTTTCATGCTTTTTCAGAAGAGATAAGACTGAAAGGGAACAACTCTGAAGATACTGTAATAATCTCTTTCTATCATTAGGTAATTGTTTTTGTAAATGATTGCAAAAAAAGCATATAGTATTTTCATTAGCAAAAGTACTGTGCTCTCACTGTTGCAACTGCATAGATATTTCCTTCAAGAGCAGGATAGCTTATTTTGGAACAGCTACTTCTCATCTCCGAAAGTCTGTCATGCTCATTTCAAAACTTTCCATGTTACACTTTCACTGCTACACGGATATTTCAGTTGCCCAGTTACAAACTGCTAACCTGTCTTAACAGCCCAGGCTATAAACTAAAATTAGGACCAGGTATACTATAAACTGCAATAATCCAGCAGCTATTACATAAGAAACCAAAGCACTCTTATGAAGAAAGGTCAGGTGGAGACAACAGGACAGAAAAAAATATAAAATTGTGAAGCAAAACTTTTATACGCATTTTTATTTTCAGCTATCAGTAATTCTCTTATACATAACAGAGTTACTCATGCATGGTTAACTAATACATTTATGCTAAGATCTTTTTAAAAAAAAAGAATAGGTTAAAGACTGACTTCTGTACTTGCCAACAAAGTTTATTTTTGGTGTAGATGTTTTCTTTACAGCTATATTAGCAGTGATTGAAGATGTTTTGTTGTTGGATGCCATGTTAAGTGGTGTGTTTCCCACAGGAGTAAGAATTTTCACTGCAGAGGATGCAACAGAGGAGTTCACAGTACTGCTGCTAGTTGCCACATTTGAAGCAGAGGCAGCTGGTTTGGAAGCAGATGTGGATGTTGAGGAAGTAGCCTGGGTAACCACATTTGGTTCAGTTGAAGGAATGGGTTTGCCAAGTTTTGTGTGCAATTTTACTACCTATAACAATAAAGAGAAATTCATATAATCTCCCTGGGATAACAAAATATAACTAAATAGTTACTACTTCTTAAGAAGTGATCTTAGCAAAAAAAAAAAGATGGACATGTAAAAATTTTTGTCACTTGTGTAACAAGGAAATTCTTTATTGTCATCTAAGACTGTTTATTTCCATTACAAATTCATACATATACTCCGAAAGCTACGTGGATGAGAACAGAAAGTCAATAAACTAACAAGCCAGTAAAACAGAAGGATGTATTTTGCTCAAACTGTTTCAGTGTTTTGTTCCCTGGTTGCTTTTTCTCCTCTTCAAAAAGAGTAGTAGGTTAAACTGTTTTGGTGCCAAATATTACTTGTAAATAAAAGTTAATTCAAATTCAACAACACTGTCTCTTTTGATCGCTACCTTTTAAGAATATTTGTATGAAAAGAACTGCCAAATTACATAGCAAAACTGATGAGATTCCTTAGATAAATGTTTTTCTCTCTTTTTTTTTTTTAAAAAAAGCACATCTGTAGAGATGATTAAGGAGGATGTGAGAGGTATAATTCAGTGCTCTTCAGAATTCCCAGAAGACTGGGAGGCTTGCCAATGTGACTCTCATCTACAAGAAGGATAGTAAGGAGGATCTGGGGAACTACAGTCCTGTTAGCCTGACCTTGGTGCCAGGGAAGGTTATGGAGCAGATTGTCTTGAGGGAGATCATGCGGCATGTGCGGGACAACCAGGGGATCAGGCCTAGCCAGCACGGGTTCATGAAGGGCAGGTCCTGCTTGACCAACCTGATCTCCTTCTGTGATCTAGTGACCCATCTGGTAGACAAGGGAAAGGCTGTTGATGTGGTCTACCTAGACTTCAGCAAACCCTTTGACACTGTCTCCCACAGTGTTCTCCTGCAGAAGCTCGCAGCCCGTGTCTTGGACAGGTATGCTCTTGGCTGAGTAAGGAACTGGCTAGAAGGCCGGGCCCAGAGAGTGGTGGTGAATGGAGTTAAATCCAGCTGGCGACCAGTCACGAGTGGTGTTCCCCAGGGGTCGGCACTGGGGCCTGTCCTCTACAATATCTTTATTGATGACCTGGATGAGGGCATTGAGTGCACCCTCAGTAAGTTTGCAGATTCCACCAAGTTGGCTGGAAGTGTGGATCTGCCTGGGGGTAGCAAGGCCCTACAGGGGGATATGGACAGGCTGGATAGCTGGGCTGAAGCCAATGGGATGAGGTTCAACAAGGCAAAATGCCGGGTCCTGCACTTTGGCCACAACAACCCCAGGCAACCCTACAGGCCTGGGGAGGAGTGGCTGGAAAACTGCCTGATGGAAAGGGACCTTGGTGCACTGGTGGAAAGTTGGCTGAATATGAGTCAGCAGTATGCCTGGGTGACCAGGAAGGCCAATGGCATCCTGGCTTGCATCAGTAACAGTGTTGTCAGAGGGAACAGGGAAGAGATTGTCCCCCTGTACTCAGCACTGGTGAGGCCGCACCTGGAATACTGTGTCCAGTTTTGGGCCCCTCACTGCAAGAAAGACATTGAGGCCCTGGAGTGAGTTCAAAGAAGGGCGACAAAGCTGGTAAGGGGTCTGGAGCACAGGCCTTATGAGGAGCGGCTGAAGGAGCTGGGAATGTTCAGCCTGGAGAAGAGGAGGCTGAGGGGAGACCTTATTGCTCTCTATAACCACCTGAAGGGAGGTTGTAGTGAGCTGGGGGTCGGCCTCTTCTCTCATGTAACTAGTGAGAGGACTAGTGGGAATGGCTTCAAGCTGTGCCAGGGGAGATTTAGGCTGGATGTTAGGAAATACTGCTTCTCTGAAAGAGTGGCCAGGCAGTGGAATGGGCTGCCCAGGGAGGTGGTGGAGTCACCAACCCTGGAGGTGTTCAAGGAACGTTTGGATTTTGTGTTGAGGGACGTGGTTTAGTGAGAACTGTTGGTGATAGGTGGATGGTTGGACTGGATGATCTTGAAGGTCTTTTCCAACCTTGGTGATTCTGTGATTCATAGAAAGCAAAGAGATACATGCTTATTCTTAAAAGTGCTGCTTAAGGATAAAATAGTACTACATTTGGTGACCACTGACCGTCACCTGTGAAAGAAATGCAAGTGTTTCAAAAAGCCAAACATACAGAATGAGAACTAAAGATTGGGAAAGATTTCAAAGTAGCAAAAAAAAAGTCAGCTAGACGCACCTTTAATGCAAACATGTTTAGGCAATGATAATGTGTGTACAACAGTACACATACACTTCTTAGTTTTTACTGCCTATCTATCTATCGGGAAGAGAAAGCTACATCCAAATGTATGAGGACAATATATACCATGCCATATACCTATGCAATTACTAGACACAACCCAAAACTTTAATAACGTAAAGTATTTATGAAAGAAAGAACACTATGCAAGTCTATCTAAATTATAACATTTGCTCTTAATCATAGAAAAATAGAATGGTTTGGGTTGGAAGGGACCCTTACAATTATCTAGTTCCAACCCCCCTACTATAGGTAGGGATGCCTCCCTTTAGACCCCCACAGCCCCATCCAGCCTGGCCTTGAATGCTTCCAGGGAGAGGGCATTCACCACCTCTCTGTCCAACCTGTTCTAGTGTCTCACCACCCTCACAATAAAGAATTTCTTCCTAATATCTAGTCTAAATCTACCCTCTTCCAGTTTAAAACCTTTTCTCCTTGTCCAGTCACTACATAGTCTTCTAAAAAGTCCCTCCCCAGCTTTTCTGTAGGCCCCCTTCAGGTACTGGAAGGCCGCTATAAGGTTCCCACTGGAAGCTCTCTCAGCCTGTCCTCGTAGGAGGGGCGCACTCTAGCCCTTTGATTATCTTCATGGCCCTCCTCTGGACCTGCTCCAACAGCTCAATGCCCTTCTTGTGTTGGGGTCTTCCACTCATTATAAAGTTCCTTGCCACCCATATGTCTATTTTCTTTGCAAGACATACCAAGGAGTGATACATAATAGTCCTGTCCATTGGCAATGACTCAGCTTACAGCATTTCAAAGCATACTGTGAACTTCACAGCATCAGACAACTACTGACAGAAGTCTTGGAAAGAGGGGGGACAAGTATGCTACTGCATGTCCTTACTGACTCTCTTCCTCACTTTATTCTACCTTTTGATCCTAAGATTTTCATACTTTTCCAAATATATATTCTTCTCACTGACACAGTGGCAGTATTTTTCCCCTTTCTCCCCAAAATGCCCAATCTAATAGCGAGCTTAATTTTACATTTGAAACAAAAAGCAGAACACTGTTAAAATTATTCAAAATATATTGTTTCTGCTCATTTTCTCCCCTCTAAGATGAAGGGGAAAAAAAAGTACAACTGACTTGCGTAATAAAAACAAGAAAAAAGCTCTTACTTTCTGATGCTTGGCTCCTCGAATATGGGCAGCATATGCATCTGCTCCTGTACAAGACACATCACAAAGCTCACAGCGCAACTGATTCTGAGTTCCACGAGCAGAAGTGCTGCTGTTATTGGTGTTCTGGGAAGCTTTTAATGCTGTTTCTTTCTTTTTGTGTTTCTGGCCTTCTAAATGTTCTTTGTAAGTCTGTTTAAATAAATAATACACACACAGCTGCCTTTATAGTGCATGTTCATCATTCATGTGAATACATGTAGTATAGAAAATAGCATAAAATACATGCTTTGTTTTGCAAGAGGTACTTGCTATGCTAACATTTCTTTCATATGACATGCTCTAAGGCATAAGCATGCTACTTGATAGACAAATTTTCGTCTTCTTGTGGTTTTGTGATTTTTGTTGTCGGTATTCCACGTCAGAACATCATGTAAAACAGTGGGAGTTAAAGAGTTAATGTTCTGGTTCCGTGGACTGCCTTTCTTGGGCGTTCTGGGTTCTCAGAAGGGAGGGATGGCATTCCCAGAAGACTTGACACAATTTTTTTTTTTTTTTTTTTTTTTTTAAAAAAAAAAAAAAGACCCATCTGCTATCTCCCTACCCTTCTCCCTCTCCCAGAGAGCACGGCTCGCAAGTGCCTTGCCTCATTAGCCACAGGCCGGGGCCAGCCTCGAAGTGCCACAAAAGGCGGGGGAGTTTGTTGTTTTTTTTTTTTTTTTCCCCCCCCTCTCTTTTGTCTCTTTCTGGGCTTGTGCCCCTGTCACCGACTCAGATCTAGAGATAACTCCGTGACACTTCTCCTCCACCAGAATTCCATTTTTAGAGATAATACAGTCTGAGTTTTCCTCACCTACCTCCTCACTTCTTCAATCGAGTACTGTTCAAAAGATAATGCTATTGAAAACTTGATATAATCACAAAACTGCATCTCAGTTGCAGTTTCCTGCATTGCACTGAGTTAGTCTTGATTTGGAATTTTCCTCAATCTGTATGATGACGGTGCTTAAGTGTACTCTGAGAACTAAAAAAAATTGATTCAAAAGAAGGTAGCACATAAAGCTGTACTGAAAATGAAATGCAGTCGAGATTTGCTCTTATACCAACGTTGGCAACCTAGAGAATAGACAGTGGGAAATAACAGTAGATTTACTGAAAGAACTGTTTATCCTAATGATAGATTTACTTAAAGAACTGTTTATCGTAACACACAAAAAAAGTGCATGAACTGATATCTACTTTTTACACACTTGTACCCACTGTGAAACTAAACTGGGATGATGGAATACAATGAGAAATAAATTTTCAGGCTTACCATAAACAAAATTGGTATACTTAAGTAGTTTTGAAAACAAGTATTTTCTAAGAAGTTTGCTATGCTTAAACAGCAAATCAAATTCAAAGTTTATAATACTTCTGGAGTCTAAAGTATAGTTGAAGTTTCTCTGTACAATCCAATGGGATGCACCTTTTCAACTTCTCATAATAAATCAATAATAGCACACACTTTCATTTAATTATTCCTTTAGTAAAATTACAAAATTGGGTCCTTAAAAATTAACAAATATTCTTAAAGGGGTCAGTTTTTTTTTAGCTGAAGAAATTATGACTAACATGTATTACAGAACATTACATAATATAGGTACCTGTGGTCCAGCACAGCTGATCTTACAAACATCACAGTAGTGGATCTGGGGTGGTTTGGGAGGTTGTTTTGGTTTCAGTTGCTTATTTTGGAATGGTGCCTTTTTAGTAAAGGTGGTCCCTGTCCAAGCAGCTGTTGCAGCAGCAGCAGCAGCTGCTGCTGCCGCCGCTTGTTTCTGTTGCTGCTGCTGCTGGTAATAGGACGATGCAGCTGAATACACTGCAGCTTCATAGCCAGAATAAGAGGTACCTCAAATATAAAAACAAAATAAATATTACATCAAGTATCAATTACATAACACACTAATTGCAAGCATGCTGCATAATAGAGATGGAGGGGCAGAGCAGGAAATAAACTATTTATCAATATCTTGTTATGCAGTCTGCTTTTGTTGATGCTTCACAGTACACAAATACATAGCCTACCACTTATCAGGAATATATTTTATTTTAGGCACATCTTTGCAGATGCACAGTTATGTTGTTGAATATATCAAAGGATCCCTATAGAGTATGTGAAAATTCTTGATTTATCTGGTAAGATATTCAACAAGAATAAAATATTTATCAAAGGTCAGTTGAAGTAAACAGTCTTTCAAAACCAGATTTACTGTTCAATATTCAAAATGAAGATGACAGAGATTATGCAGGAGAGGGGAAAAAAAATATGAATACAAAAGATAGAACTGCTAGTGCAGTAAGTCACAAAGCACTGTGCCACATAGCTTTGTCAATACCTTGTATATTTTCATGTAATAAAAAGGCATATTTAAGCATCAAACCTCTTTTAAAGACAAATCGTTATACTGGCAAAATATTTTTATGTAGCTGGTTGATACTTCTTGGTAGACTATGATGTAACAGAAAACAAAATACTAAAATTCTGAGTATTTAATTAATTTAATTATTTGATTAATTTAATCTTCCATAACAATTGCAAAGATACCAGCAGCATAATATGCAAAATTCTTACCAGAGTAAGTAACTGCTGTTGTACTGTATGTTGCACTTTGAGTATAGGATGGAACAACAGTAGCTGCAGCTGCTACTGGCTGCACAGTAGAAGATACTGGATATATGGAAAAAGTAGTTGTTGCTGGACTTGGGGTTGCAGGTTTTATAGCTGTCACTTGTCGTGTTTGCTGGGCTTGGGTATATTGAGTTGCCCCTTGGCTGTATCCTACTTTTGAAGCTAAATAGGAAAGAAAATATAAGCGTACAAACATAGATAAGCTTCAGTTGATTTAAATGCAAACCCTATTAAGTAATGTTAACAATACCTTATGATATTCTGGGGAATAAATATAATAAACGGAGGTGGTTTTTTGGTCGGTTCCTTCTGTTGTTTGGGTTGGGTTTTTTTGTTTGTTTGTTTTTGTTGTATTGTTTTGATTTGCTTGTTTGGTTTTTTTGTTTGTTTTTTATTCAGTTGTAGTTATGGATCATGATGTCTCAGGTCACATTAGTACATTTAAACTTGTATCTTAACATAAAAAAATTATTTTATGCTTTGTAGCAGTCACAATACCAATGATTAAAGAACTACATACATTAAGTAACTACAGAACTGCAAAATCAAAATCTAACCAAATTATCATCTAAAATTACCATTGACTATTTGCACCTAATTTGGCAAACTTTCTAGGAAAATCGGCAAAAAGTTTGCCTAAAAATATGTTTTGACTATATTTAATAATATTACAAAACTCAAAGATAGTTACTTTCAGCAATGTCCCAACAACATTCAAGTTCTAGATGCAGCATATTGTTCTACACATTGACAGGGATTAAATGAGAAAGCTAAGAAAAAAAAGCCTGGGTTATATCATATATTCAAAGATATTTTTTAAGGTATTAAAGTAGTACTCACAATACATAATGTCAGAAGTATTGGAGCATGCAACCCACCTGTCTGGTAGTATGATTCAGCTACTGAAGGTTGAGGCTGGGCAGCAGCAGCCACAGCTACAGCAGTTGCTGTCGTCTGTTGATAATATTGTTTGCTGTCATAAGCTACAGCTGGGGCAGTAGATCGAACATAAGAATAGGAATCCTATAAATTAAAAAGGGAAAAAAAAAAAAAAAACAAACAAACAGCGAATATCCCCTTAAAATATGATTCTGGAGTAATAAAGATCATTAGCAGAGTAAAAAAAAAAATCAACAACAATGTATTTCCTTTTAGTCTACGCTAAAAGATTAAAAAAAAAAAAAAAAAAAATAAAAAAAAAAAACAAGGTTTACTTACAGAGAAAATGTATACACATATATACATTAAAGAAATTAAATTTGTTTACAAATGCTACAGGACTGAAAACAAACCTGATTAAGTTTTTCAGACTTAATATAAAATTTATCTCATGCTTTTAAATCACTCTCCTTTCCAAATTAATTTTGTAACTGAAAAGCAACTACTTTTGTTAATTTTTCAAAGTGACTATATTAAATTTGTATAAAATATGAAGGAAAAAACAATATACATCTCCACAAAATGTGAATTTCTACAAACCACAATAAAGTCACAAGTTTACAAACATCACCCTATATTGGCCTTAAAAATCCCATAATATATATATATTTTTTTTCGGTTATATTTCCTAGAGTATGAAAGTCATACTTTTAAAGCCTTCTTCATTTTTTGAAATATCAACTATTTCAAGCCACAACTAGTCTAGAAGGGCAAGATGAGTAGCCCATTCAACACATCCAGAACTCAAAAGATGGATAGTAAGCTTAGAAAAAGGAGAGTCTGGAAACAACTATATGCGTGTACATATATTTTCCCATCCTTATCATATTTATGGTAAAGTATGAGTAGCTGATGAACTGATGGGTAACAGCATGAGCTACATGTGAACTACACATAAAATTTATTTTTATTTCCAATAAATACAGCAATAGAATTTTCACCCAACCTGTATAAAAGTGGAATTATTTTCCCTTAATTTAAGGGATACTCTTTACTGTCTGAATACATCCAATAACTGACTAGTTATTAGTTACCTTGTAACTATGAGTGTATGTGCAACTGGTAGTACTCCTATGTTAAAATTCATTACCATATGTAACACATTTTAAAATCTGTACAAAAGAACTGATAACATACAGCAACAGCATAGTCCAAACAAAAATACTAATTAGAATCTATATGTGTTGATAATTTTATGACTAATATGTTAAAGAAAGATGTACTATTTCAACGTCCTCTGTCTCACTAGTAAATGCAAATTTTAAATATGAGCCATGCAAAAAAAAAATTAGGTAACTTACGTGTATAAACACACTTGCCTAGAGATATCTACTGAAGACTTGGACTAACAAATGCTAATGTAGAAAAAAAGCTGATAAAAATACAAATAAAGTTCACATTTCCAACTCAAAACTACTCAGTCATGTAAAACTCCTCCTCTTTCTGCATCTAAATTGTCTGATTTAAACCAATGGACTAGAGTTACTGATGTGCATATATGCTTACATTAAGTGAATCTAGATAGATAGGAAAAACTGCAGCTTTTTGCTCTCTTCAAAAATCTGAACAGGAGTAAGCACATGTTAAAAAGTCCCCAGATAACTTCTACAAACTGATATCTTCCAATTGCAAAATTAATGCAGCACTCTGATTTATACTGCAAGTTTATTTATTTTTGAACTGAGAAGGAATACAGTTCACTAACAGACTGCTTCATGCTACATTTAAGCCAGTGCAAGAATGGGAACTTATCCGAGGTGCCAACACGTCTCTCCTCACAGCCTTGCAGTGATCCCACCTTGCATTGGCATCACAACTGTGCAGAAGCAAGGAATTTTAACTTAGCCTCTTAATCTTATGGAAAGCCACTCCTTTTTTGATTTGTTAGTTTTATGTGGAATTTTTCCTGAATTGACCCATCAAAACACTGGCTACTGATGGATTCAATAGAAGTGTCAACAGAAGTCAGGGCAAGATGAAAATAGAGAAACAGCTCTCTTTTGTGGCAATCTGTACTCACATAAAGTTAGGCACCCAGGAATCTAATAAGGGAACTATTTCTATCTCTCATTTAATTTTTTAATTGAAACATTTTATTCAGTCAGTTCCATGACACAGTTTACCACATGCTACTTGAAAAACTAGATGAGTCAAGGCAGTACTATTGTTCTTAGCAGCAGTTCACAAAATCACTTGGAGGTAAACATCAGTTCATTGCTTATTGTGTGAAAGTCTAAATCTTAGATCCTGCAGTAGCACTGCAGATAATCCTCTATATGGGTCACGATACTAGTCACTTCACACTATCAGTTATAGCTACTGAGTAATTTGAACACAGTTTTTCATAGAAGAAAAAAATACAAATACCATTACATTCTCTCACCCAAACAGGCCTCTTCCTTTTAACATATAGTTTAAAAACCATAAAACAATAGCAATTCTTTTTTAAACACACCTGGTAATTCTGCGTAGTGACAGGAGGTGGTGGTGGTGGAGCTTCTTGTTGTCTCTGTGTATAACCATAATCTGTAGCTGTGTGCGCTGTAGGATAGCCTCCATATGCAGCAGCTGTTGCAGCAGCTGCAACAGCCACAGGAGCAGGCCTGGCTACTGCAACTGTAGCTGCTGCTGGTGCGTAGGCTGCAGTAACTGTGTGCGCAGCAACTGGTGCCTGGTGGACAGTGTAGCTAGCAACTGTAGTTGGATGGGAATAGGCTACACCCGAAGCTGGCTGCTGGCTATATGGGAAAAAGACAGCAAGTAAATAATTAGATTAGTTCAACATACTAAGCTAATGCCTCCACATTTCAAAATCTGAGATTTGATTAATACTTATCTGTTCTACTAATAAACCAGTAATAGATATCTACCAACACATATGCTCCAATGACTTCTATTACCTCTCTTCCACTCCCATTAAAAAAACTATATTATTTTGAAGTTTCTGTGGAAACTGAAATATCAAGTGGGAGATTGTGGGAATACAAGAAAGACTGTTCAGAGCAGAAGCTTCAGAGCAAGATGAACGGCATGAGAAAGCAACAATGAGAACCAAGGACATCTCCAGAAGAGGAAAAATCAAAGTCATGTAAGCTGCATGATGGCTGTGTGATGATGACCCTGGTTGGAGGAAAGGTGCATGGCTAGGAATGGCTCATGACTCTGATTGGATAAGTGGCTGCATGCACGGTTAAGGAATGCTTGTGGAATGTTTTGTTGACATATAAAGGCGGGTGGAAAAGTTACAAGAGAAAACTTTTGAATGTATATAAGGCATGTTAGAACCTGCAACAAACAATTTGGATCGTTCACATCTGAGTCCATGCCTCAGACGCTGCAAATGGCAAATCAAGCCGAGGCTGAGTGAACCTGGTCCAGCAGCACCACCTGAATGAACTATGGAGAGATTGTTTTGCACACGCCCATCAACATTCTGCGGGACAGAAGGTGAGCAGTCAGGAACTATGGGGAGTTCACTAACGAAGAAGCAACAAGTAAATCTCCAAGTATTATGGAGAATTTTAAAGTTTCAGAATCGACCTGTATCTACCTCAGCATTAGCTACTTTTCTTGACTGAATATTCACAAATATCCTCAAGTTTCCGATAACTGGGTTTTCTTTTGATGGGGCGGTTTGGGACAAAATTGGCACAGATCTCTGGGTGGCTGCAACTACTACAGATAAAACAGCTGCTAAACTTTTACCTGTTTGGCACCAAATATCGGAAGCGCTCAAACAAATCTAACAAGAAAGGTCAAATTCTTCTGACCGTCCCTCATCGCCCTCCTCCTCACCCCTGCCGCTGCCCCTTGGTGCAGGAAACAGCTCCTGCCCGGACCCAATCTGCGACTCCAACCCCACCCCTGGCCAGGGAGAAGAAAAATCATGGCCCCTGGAAAGCGCTGCTGCCTCTGCTGTGAGGCGTCCGCAGCCATGCAGCCCTGCATCCACAGCCCGCTCTGGAGTGTCCCTGCCACACTCTGGCCCCCCAACATTGCTCACCGTGACATTTCTCACTTTACAAACTGCTATGGCTGACTATACTGGACAAATCTCCACTCATCCCCACAAACATCAGTTACTGCATAATTTGAGTGATGTATCCCTTACTATGAATGTTTTACTTTCACATGTTCCAATACCTAATGCTGTTACTGTATTTACAGATGGCTATGGCGAGACACATAGAACAGTGGTTATCTGGTGTATGCCTGCTTTACAGTGGCGATCAGACGTGTATATTGTTGATAGGTCAATTCAAGCCATAGAACTTGCTGCAGTAGCTCGAGCTTTTCAAATTTTTGCAGAACAAAAGCTTAATATAATAACCAACTGTCATGGTTTTGTGATTCTCGGTTTTCGGTATTCCACATCATAACATCATGTGGGGCACCAGGAGTTTAACTGTTAATGCTCAAGTTCTGGGTACCTGCCCAGAAGAAGAGAAGAACTACATTCCCCAGGGGACTTTGCGGTCAGGGAGAGGAGGTTTAACTCCTGGCAAGGTCACCTGATGCACTCTTTTTCATCCACTCTTCTTTGTCGGCTCTCCTCCCGTCTCCCTGCTGCTCAACTGGACTGCGCATCTCACCTCAGCGTTGTGGTGAGGGCTATCCACCCTTTCAGACATTCTCTCTCTCATTATATTTGATTTATTAGCTTCAATTCTGATTATATTGTATTATAGTGTGTTATCTTGCATTCTGATACTATATTTAGTAAATTAGTTTGTTTCTCCTCAGATCGTTGCTGATGTTTTTAATTATTTTGGGGTCCCCTTTTTCCCTTTTCCGGAGGTGCAGATCCGCGGATCCCTCCGCCCCACTCGTCACGGAACCAGGCTGAACCAGCCTGTAAACCGTTGACATTCTTGGTGGAGAATGCAGGCATAGGTTGTTTTTTAGATTTTTAGAACAAATCTCTCTCTGCTCTCGGAGAGCTTCGTCGGGAAAGTTTATCTTTTTCACTGGTGCTCACTGAAAACTTGACCTTGAAGGTCTAGGCGGACTGCCAGTGTTCTGGGCTATTTTGTAAACTTTGAGCACTGCTATCTTGCTTCTGTAGAGAGAGAAAAAAAAGTATTTTCTCTTCTAAAAGTGCCTTTCAAGTGTCTGCATACCATTGTTTTTTCTTTTCTAATGCTCAAAACATACTGGGCCTTAATTAAGTTTGCCACTTTGCTCTATGGAGCAATAGGCATATACAATCAACTGAAAACACTGATGGAAATAAGCACTTGGTATCTGCATACAATGTGGTATACAACTCAGTAGGGAGCTGCTAATTTCACAGAACTTGGGATTTTTAAGCAGGCTCCCAGTCTCTCCTTTGAATCTTGTATGCAGTTTTTAAATGCTCACCTGATCGCATTGTTAATCTCCCTGAATTTACTGTTCATCATTTCAGTCAGTATTTGTATTTATTGTATTTTGAGGAAGCCTTCCCCAAAACCAGAGAATACTGAGTGGCAGGGAGTGTGGAGAGGCTTGGGAGAGACTTTAGGGAGATGGACATCTTCGGTGTCATGGAACTTCTCTCCTGAACACCTGAAAGACCCTGAAAGCTTAAGCATTTATTTGAGACAGGAATGTTGCGGCTCAGGCAGATCTGAGGAGGCACAAATGATTTGGGGCCTGGCTAATGCTTATCGGGCCTTATTCAATAGTATCCCAAAGAGGGAGAGAGTTTGTGAAATTGAGAGAGAGTGTCTGAAAGCTGAGAGGGAGAATCTCCGGGCTGAGGGAGAGAGTCTCCAAGTTGAGAGAAAAGACCTACAATCTGAGAGGGATATCCTCAAGTCTGAGAGAGATGCCCTCCAAATCGAGAGAGACTCCCTGCAGTCCCAAAGAGAGAGTCTCCAGGCTGAAAAGGAGAGTTTCCAGGAGAGACTCTGAGCTGAGAGAGAGAATCTCCAGGTTGAGAAAGAGAGTCTCCTAGCCGAAAAGGAGAATCTCCGAGCTGAGAGAAGGAATCTCCAATCTCGACAAGATGCCTTCGAATCTGAGCGAGACTCCCTCCAATCCAAACTCGACACCCTCCAATCTGAATGGGACACCCTCCAGTCTGAACTAAATACTCTCATAATCGAACGAGACAGACTCCAAGCAGAGCTAGAGGGTGAGAGCATCAGAACTGACCAACCTGATCAACCACAGGAGGCACCACAATTGATGTCAGTCACCCCTGTAAGAGGACTGAAAACGAACAGAATCTAACTCAGTTAGAACAGAAGAAATAGAAGGAAAGAGGTCCAGAGGAGTGGCTCCGAGATCTAGGAGAAGCACCCCTGAGTACAGGGGAGGAGCAGTCAGTAAGACCACGATCACCGACGCCTACGAGGGCAACAAGAAGTCCTGACAGAGGAAGAGGTGAGCAAGATCTTGTTACCTTTGTGGATCGATCTCTGAAAATGAATGAAATTCGAAGTCTGAGAAAAGACTTCTCACGCCACCCAAATGAGCCTATTGCTACTTGGTTACTTCGATGCTGGGACAATGGGGCCAACAGTGTGTGGCTAGATAGTAGAGAAGCTCGCCAACTGGGTGGCATTGCTAGGGACTCAGCCATTGACAGAGGCATTAGTACATGCCAGAACCAGGCCTTCACCCTCTGGAAACGGATGTTGTTAGCTGTAAAAGAAAGATACCCCTTCAAAGATGATCTGATGCCTGAGAAAAAAGAAATGGGCTGATATGGAAGAAGGCATTCATCATTTGAAAGAATATGCTGTGGTGGAAATGCTACATAGCCCCAATTTCATTCCTGATGAGCCAGACCAAGAGCATGATCCTGAGAGAGTCAGGTGTACACCAAATATGTGGCGTACTTTCACAAAGACTGCTCCAGAGAGGAACGCCAGTACGTTTGCAGCAATGTATGGCAGAGGGGAAAGAAGAACCCTTGTAAATGAGCTGGTTAATAAACTTGAAGATTTTGAGTTACATTTAAGCCCTCTACGTTAAGTCCTCTTTGTGTTTCAGCCATTGCAAAGACAGCTGAAAAGCTGAACAGAATGGAAAGCAAACAAGAAGATATAATGGGCAAACTGTCAACAGTGCCTAATGCTGATGGATCCATGGTAGTAACAGATACATCCAATGGTGACCAGAATTCCCAAAAGAGCCTACTGGAGGGGCTGATCAACTTGGGTTCCTACCAGCCGGTGTCATCCAACGTCTCAGCTATCAAAAGAAGACGTCCTCCTGCTCGAACAAGTGTCAACAGTAAGACTAAGTCACGTTTTGCCTTGTGGCATTATCTACGTGACCATGGAGAAGATATGAAGAAGTGGCATAAACAACCTACTCCTGCACTTCAAGCACGGGTAAAAGAATTACAAGATAAATCAACGATGAAGGTGAACTTCTCCAAAAAGGTGATTGCTCCAGTTGCTGCAGACAACAGAGGTAACAAATAGAGGGGCCCTGCCCACGGCTGGGGGGAGAAAGAGATAATAGAGTTTATTGGACTGTGTGGATTAGATGGGCTGGCACATCAGAACCACAGAAATATAAGGTCCTGGTGGATACTGGTGCTCAGTGCAACCTAATGCCCTCGAGTCACCAAGGGACAAAATCAATTTACATTCATGGGGTGACAGGAGGTTCCCAAGAACTGACTATGTTGGAGGCCGAAATCAGCCTCACTGGTAAAGACTGGCAAAAGCACCCTATTGTGACTGGCCCAGGGGCTCCATGTATACTTGGTATCGATTACCTCAGAAGGGGAGATTTTAAGGATCCCAAAGGGTATCAATGGACTTGTGGAATAGCTGCTGCAGACACAGAAGGTGTTAAGCTGTTAACTGTTTTGCCCGGCCTATCAGAAGATCTGTCTGTTGTGGGGTTGCTACGAGTAAAAGAGCAACAGGTACCGATTGCTACAAAAACGGTGCACAGGCAGCAGTACCGCACCAACAGGGATTCCTTGCTCCCTATTAATAAGTCGATTCGTCAACTGGAGAGTGAGGGAATGATCAGCAAAACTCACCTTTTAACAGCGCCATATGGCCAGTGCGTAAAGCCAATGGAGAATGGAGGCTGACGGTAGATTACCATGGCCTGAATGAAGTCACACCCCCACTGAGTGCTGCTGTGCCGGACACGTTAGAACTCCAGTATGAACTGGAGTCAAAAGCAGCCAAATGGTATGCCACCACTGACGTTGCTAATGCCTTTTTCTCCATGCCTTTGGTCAAAGAATGTAGGCCACAGTTTGCTTTCACCTGGAGGGGCATTCAGTATACCTGGAATCGTTTGCCCCAGGGGTGGAAACATAGTCCAACCATTTTCCATGGGCTGATCCAAGCCAAACTGGAACAGGGAGGTGCTCCTGAGCATCTGCAGTACACTGATGATATCATTGTGTGGGGAAACACAGCAAAGGAAGTTTTTGAGAAAGGAGAGCAAATAATCCAGATCCTTCTGCATGCTGGTTTTGCTATTAAGCGAAGCAAAGTGAAAGGACCTGCCCAGGAAATTCAGTTCCTAGGTATAAAGTGGCAAGATGGCCGTCATCACATCCTGACAGATGTGATCGACAAAATCACTGCCATGTCTCCCCCCACTAATAAGAAAGAGACAAAATAATTTCTGGGCAAAGTGGGTTTTTGGAGTATGCATATTCCAAACTACAGCCTCCTTGTAAGCCGCCTTTATCATGTGACGCGAATGAAGAATGAGTTTCCATGGGGCCCTGAGCAGCAGCAGGCTTTCAAGCAGATTAAGCAGGACATAGCCCGTGCCGTGGCCCTGGGGCCAGTACGGACGGGACAGGATGTGAAGAACATCCTCTACACTGCTGCTGGAGAGAAAGGTCCCACTTAGAGTTTGTGGCAAAGAGGTTCAGGAGACATCCATGGCCGACCTTGGAATACGGAGTCGGGCGTACAGAGGGTTAGAAGAGGGCTACACTCCAACTGAAAAAGGAGATCTTGGCTGCATATTAGGGGGTTCGGGATGCTTCCAAAGTAGTCAGTACTGAAACACAGCTCCTTCTGGCACCTCGACTGCCAGTGTTGAACTGGATGTTTAAAGGAAACCCATCATGCTACTGATGCCACTTGGAGTAAGTGGATTGTGCTGATTACACAGCGAGTGCAGATGGGGAACGTCAGCCGTCCAGGAATCCTAGAAGTCATCATGGACTGGCCTGAAGGCAAAAAGTTTGGAACACCACCAGCAGAAGAGGTATCACGTGCTAAAGAAGCCCCACCATACAATGAACTACCAGAGAACGAAAAGAAATATTCCCTGTTCACAGATGGATCGTGTCGTATTGTGGGAAAGCATCGCAGATGGAAATCTGCTGTGTGGAGCCCCACACAACAAGTTGCAGACGCCACCGAAGGGAAAGGAGAATCAAGGCAGTTTCCAGAGGTAAAGGCTGTCCAACTGGCCTTAGATGTTGCTGAACAGGAAAGGTGGCCAATGCTCTATCTTTACACTGACTCATGGATGGTGGCAAATGCCTTATGGGGGTGGTTACAGCAGTGGGAGCAAAATAACTGGCAAAGAAGGGGTAAACCTATTTGGGCTGCTGAACTGTGGAAAGACATTGCTGCCCGAATAAAAAATATGGTTGTAAAGGTGCGTCATGTAGATGCTTATGTGCACAAGAGTCGGGCTACTGAAGAACAGCAAAATAACCATCAGGTAGACCGAGCTGCCAGAATTGAGGTGGCTCAAATAGACTTGGACTGGCAACACAAGTGTGAATTATTTCTAGCTTGGTGGGCCCATGAGACCTCAGGTCATCAAGGGAGAGATGCAACATACAAATGGGCTAGAGACCGAGGGGTGGACTTAACTATGGATGCTATTGTACAGGTTATCCCTGACTGTGACACATGAGCCAGAATTAAACAAGCTAAGAGGATGAAACCTCTCTGGCAGGAAGGGTGATGGCAAAAGTATAAATATGGCGAGGCATGGCAGGTTGATTATATCACCTTGCCACAATCTCGCAATGGTAAGCATTATGTGCTTAATATGTTGGAGGCAACCACTGGGTGGCTTGAAACGTATGCAGTACCCCATGCTACCGCCCGAAACACCATATTGGGACTCGAGAAATAAGTCCTGTGGCGACATGGCACCCCAGAAAGGATTGAGTCAGATAATGGGACTCATTTCAAAAATTCTCTTGTAAATACTTGGGCCAAAGATCATGGCATCGAGTGGATTTATCATATCCCCTATCATGCACCAGCTTCTGGTAAAACTGAACACTACAATGGGTTGTTAAAAACCATGTTGACAGCACTGTGTGGTGGAACATTTAAGCATTGGCAGAAGCATTTGGCAGAAGCCACCTGGTTGGTCAGTACTGGAGGATCGATTTATTGTGATGGTTCTGCTAGCTCCCTACATACTGCCAAGGGCAATAAGGTCCCTGTAATACATGTAAAGAACATGTTGGGAAAAGCAGTTTGGGTCTTTCCAGCTTTGGGGAAGGGCAATCCTCTGCGTGGAACTGTTTTTGCCCAAGTACCTGTGTCCACTTGGTGGGTGATGCAGAGAAACGGGGATGTTCAGTGTGTACCACAAGGGAATTTGATGTTGGGGGAGTACAGTAAGTAATTCCATATATATATATATAGGTTTGTGTGTGTGTGTGTTTAATGTTTGGTAATTATTGTTTGTTTGTATATATTAAGCATGATGTAGTGATGTAGAATAAGGGGTGGAATGTCATGGTTTTGTGATTCTTGGTTTTTGGTATTCCACATCATAACATCATGTGGGGCACTGGGAGTTTAACTGTTAATGCTCAAGTCCTGGGTACCTGCCAGGAAGAGAAGAACAACTACATTCCCCAGGGGACTTTGCGGTCACAGAGAGGAGATTTAACTCCTGGTAAGGTCACCTGATGAACTTTTTTTCGTATGCTCTTCGTCGTGGGCGCTGCTCCCATCTCCCTGCTGCTCAACTGGACTGCGCATCTCACCTCAGCGTTGTGGTGAGGCCTATCCACCCTTTCAGACATTCTCTCTCTCATTATATTTGATTTATTAGCTTCAATTCTGATTATATTGTACTATGGTGTGTTATCTTGCATTCTGATAATATATTTAGTAAATTAGTTTGTTTCTCCTCAGATCATTGACGCTGTTTTTAATTATTTTGGGGTCCCTTTTTTCCCTTTTCCGGAGGCGCGGATCTGCGGATCCCTCTGCCCCACTCGTCATGGAACCGGGCCGAACTAGCCTGTAAACCGTTGACACTGACTTTGTATGTTGCAGGTATCATTCAGCAGTTTGAAGGATCTTTTCTTAAGGAAGTTAACAACCCTGCCTTGTTTGCACAGCTCAAGTGAGTTTTGCATTATGTCTCTCACCATAGTCTTCCTTATTTTATTACACATATTCAATCACACACTACGTTGCCTGGTCCACTAACTGAGGGCAACCATAAGGCTGATCAAGCCTCAGTCACCTTTGCTACCCCTCAGTTATTTCAACAAGCTCTACTCTCCCATCAAATTTTTCATCAGAATAGGAGAGCCTTACAAAAACAATTCCAACTGACAGTGGATCAAGCCCGTAACATTATTCTAACATGCTCAGACTGACAGGCAATTGCCCCTTTGTCTCAAATAGGGACAAATCCCCATGGCACAGCACCTCTTCAGTTCTGGCAAACAGATGTCACTCATGTTGATTAATTTGGCTGTCTAAATTGTGTGCATGTAACAATAGATACTTATTTTTCTTACATGTTTGCCACAGTGCACACAAGCGAATGCAGTCACAACACCTGTAAACATTGGTTTTCTGGTTATGCTGCTATGGAGATCTCACATACAATAAAAACAGATAATGTACCTGCATATACTTCTAAGGCCACTTGAACTTTCCTCCAAGAATGGGGGGTTAGACATGTTACAGACATTCCTCATTCTCCCACTGGACAAGCTATCATTGAATGTGCTCATCAAACATTGAAATGTACTCTTAATAAACAAAAAAAGGGGAATATGGGAGACACACCGCAAGAAAGATTATGTAAGGCTTTGCTTGTGCTAAATTTTTTGAATCACGAGCATATAGATACAACTCCAGTAGATGGTCATTTTAGGGCTTCCCCAATACTCAAGGAATGGCCAATGGTTAATGTTCAGAATATGGCCACAGGGCATTGGGAAGGTCCCTTACCATTCATAACTTGGGGTCGTTTATATGCTTGTGTGTCAACAGTTCACGGGCTGGTTCGGCCCTGTTCCATGACAAGCAGGGCGGAGGGATCCGCAGATCCGCGCCTCCGGAAAAGGGAAAAAAGGGACCCCAAAATAATTAAAAACAGCGTCAATGATCTGAGGAGAAACAAACTAATTTACTAAATATATTATCAGAATGCAAGATAACACACTATAATACAATATAATCAGAATTGAAGCTAATAAATCAAATATAATGAGAGAGAGAATGTCTGAAAGGGTGGATAGGCCTCACCACAACGCTGAGGTGAGATGCGCAGTCCAGTTGAGCAGCAGGGAGATGGGAGCAGCGCCCACGACGAAGAGCATACGAAAAAAAGTTCATCAGGTGACCTTACCAGGAGTTAAATCTCCTCTCTGTGACCGCAAAGTCCCCTGGGGAATGTAGTTGTTCTTCTCTTCTGGGCAGGTACCCAGGACTTGAGCATTAACAGTTAAACTCCCAGTACCCCACATGATGTTATGATGTGGAATACCAAAAAACAAAAATCACAAAACCATGACATTGTGCTTCCACAGGGACTGGCCCTAGGTGTGTTCCAGTGTGATACATTTGGTCTCATCTCAAGGCAGAAAATAGCATCCAGCCCTCATAATGACTGGAATTGTGTGTTTCTTACTTATTGATATTGTTTTGCAATTTGTTGTATTGTAGGTAACTTGTGAGTGCCATAGTGAGTGGCCAAAAACGGCTGGATAACACACTGGATGGTATCACAATAACAACACTGGTAATGGTATGACAGAAGTGGGTGATTTTCCTGTGTTACCAATGCAGCCTCAAGAATTAGAATTATTAGGAACTATCTAGTTTGCTGAGTGCTTCCTCCTCTATTTTAATACTTGATCAAATGTGAATTGTACAGGACCATGTTACCATTGCTGGAATCTATGGGAATAGTTCTTTTAGTGTAATTTCACCACCCCGTTATCAGTAACTCTTGGTTATGATGCTATTAGCCTATAAGTTAGCCTTTTCTTAATTTGCAGAGACAAAGGCTGGAAAGGAATCCCAGGTAAAGGGATGGCCCTGTGTCATGGTTTTATTATTTTTTGTTATCGGTATTCCACACCATAACATCATGTAGTGCACTGGGAGTTAAAGAGTTAATGCTCCAGTTCCATGGATCGTGGATAGTTCTGGGTACCTGGTTCTCAGAAGAGAAGAACTACATACTACATACTCCAGGGGACTATGTGTTGTTTTGTTTCCATTTGCCATTCAGAGGGAAAGATAAAAATGTTCGCATATTACAAGATGTTCCCTTTTTCCCTTCCATTGATCTTGGCAGTGTGTGCTCTCTAGATCATTTTGCCTTCAACATTAGAGAAAGGCCTTTGGTTTATCAGACACTCATTTTATTTGATTTATTAGCTTCAATTCTAATTATCCTGTATTATATTGTATTATAGTGTGTTATCTTGCATTCTGATATCTTATTTAGTAGATTAGTTGGTCTCTCCTCAGATCGTTGCCACTGTTTTGTTTTTAGGCCCATCTCCCTACCCTTTTCCCTTAACTGGGGTGTGGGTTCATGGGTCCCCCTGTACTGCTAGTCACAGAATCAGGCCAAACCAGCCTGTAAACTATTGACACCCTATACTATAGAACAATTAACTCTCTTTCATCCCACTAATCAGGATTTTAAAAATACGACCATGCCTTTCTTGCCTCAACTCCTAAGACATTCTGTCTCTTGTATCCAAACGTACCCTGAAACACCTGTGCTTCATCCTTCAAAACAGTTGTTCACAAATGTACAGACTGACAAAAAACAATAATATGAATGAGGTGTGATTGTGAAGCGAGGGATATTTTTCTCTGGTAAGATAGGTTGTACAAAAGTCTATTAAAGAGACATGATCAGATTTTTCTTTGAGTTGAATATCTGATTGCAACACAATACATTCCATTTGAAAATTTGTAGGTAATTTGTCAACTGAAAACAGAATCCCAAATATACAAAAAAAAAGATGATTTTTTCAGCTATCTTGAAACATTCTCAAATTTCTTTATCAAAATGGAAAGCACAGCTCCATATTTTTTGCTGTTCACAGGGCTGTTTTTAGCCAAGGAATCAAAGAGCATAAAAATTATGTGCTATAACTTGATTTTGCACTACATTGTGCCCTCCCCTTGTCCTGGTTTCAGCTCTGACAGCATTAATAGCATACTGATGGCTTAGCTGTTGATGAGCTATGGGTGTGCACTCTGGGCCAGGCTGGGCGCTCAACAGCAAAGAGCCACTGCTGCCATGATGGCTCAGGGCAGGTGGTGGGCAGCAGGATGTGCTGTGCCAGGCTGCATGTGGCCAACAGGCTGGACATGCCTGTCTTAATCTGTTATCTCTTTTTGTCAACAATTTTTTAAGCGCTTCATTAGTCCTTTAATAAAACTACCTGTTAAATTAAGAAAAATATTACTTTTCTATGACAGCTCATTACTGACCTGAATTATGTTTTTCATTAAACCATAATAAAATGATGAATTTTAAAAGACTTCAGTGAAAATTAGTTTAGGACTCTAAAAGTTAAGGCAGAGATGCTTTAAAAGCATATCTCTGATACCAGGCTTTTCCCACAAAAGTTAAGAATTAAAAAATATTGGCCCCACTTGTACAGAAGTCTACTGCCTCACAAAACGAAGCATCATCAAAGGACAATCACATAAAGTAAGAACACTGCTACCAGAGCTATGGCAATTTTCCAGGCACACACTGAGACTAATCTGACTTTCTAAAATTTACAGGCAGGACATTGATATGTGCCTATTTACTAAGAATGATTAAATACGTACATCGCTCCAAAAGTAATGCTTCCCAGTTTCTATTTCCATAGAAACTACAACAAACACAAAGAACACAATAACACTCATTTCTTCTTTGCTATTTTTGTATAAAACTTCCTTATCATGGTATAAAATTAACAGCCCTCATCATTCAATTTCTAAGGCTAATAATGTTCTATTGTCATGTTTACTTTAGTAATTCTATTCCCCTTCTTTCTTCACCATCAAGTGGAGCTAATAATTGAGTTTGCAAGACTACAAGGAAGTCTAGAACTGACTGCTGCTTCTTTTTTAAAATAACTATTCATTATGCTATAGAAATTCATAGTACAATCTTTTACAAACTCATGAGGTTTTTTTTCTTCCCAAGTTCTTACTGAAAATCTTTTATCATTAAGATGACCAGGCACTTCCATGTAATGAATTTCTATTAAAAGATTTTTGTGTCAAGTTTGTCATTTAATTTACAAGAGTTTTATCCTTGATGGCCGGGCGCGGTGGCGCACACCTGTAATCCCAGCTACTCGGGAGGCTGAGCCCACCGGATCGCTTGAGCCCAGGAGTTCTGGGCTGCAGTGTGCTATGCCAAGTGGGCATTTGCGCTAAGGCCGGCATCAGTTCAGTGACAAGTGCTTCATAACATTTGCTGAGATCAGCTTATCTTCACTCAGACTGTTCTGCCAGATCTCCTATTCCACCAATCTTTCTTGCAGCTCATCTTTGCACATGTCCTAATACTATCTACTTGTCTTTTTTGACCATGGATGACAAGAACCATATACATTACTTCAGATTAATCTTCAACTGTGCTACCTATCCTGCTCTAGGCAGTGCTTTCATTCCAAACAATCTAGCTCCTTCAGAGAAGCTTCTTGTGAAGTTACCTATATATTGACAATACTTCCCTTACGTATCATGACACAGTATACAAATGTAAACAATAAATAAGAATCCACACCAATGCTTGCATAACTTCAATGTAATTATTATTTGACAACCACTCTTCAATAACCACCTCTACCAGTACTTCTCTACAAGTTTTATTAATCTATACCTTAATAATTTATCATACTGCACCACATCAATTATTTAAGTCCCAAAGACTGCAAAATACTTGGCACATGATCAAGTTATTAGAGCAACAACAAATGTCAGTTGAGCTACTGTAACAAAACATGCATGTTCTTCACCACAACAAAGAAAGTAATTCAGTTTAGCTTAATCATCCAACGCAGTGATGAATAAGTTGAATTAAATTACTCTATGTTCTATGGGTTAAGGACGTGCAAACAATTATTGAAGCACAGCTGACGCAAACAAACTCAATGCCCTAGTGTAGTGGAAATGCCAAGTCAGGGCCTGAAAAAGTGATTGAGAACCTAGTGGGAAGGCAGGGCCAACCCAGGGGATCTCAGGTGCAAGTAATGCACCTGAGTGACTGGAAGGGCTGTAGTCAGGATCCACCCCTTCCCAGACCTCATTTAAATGTTGGCAGCGGCCCATTTTGCTGGAGGGTATAATCCATTACAGTAATGGTAGATTGATTATATGGGTCCCCTTCCTTGATCTGAGGGGGCCAGATATGTCCTAACCTGTGTTGATAAAGCAAGTAGATTGATGCAAGCCTATCCTGTAGCAAAGGCAAACCAAGCCTATACCATCAAAGCTCTAACTTGGTTGATGCCGTCATAGGGGACTCCTGAGGTCACTGAGAGTGACCAAGGTATACATTTCACAGGTGCGACTGTGCAGAAGTGGGCTGAAGACAACAACATTGAATGGCGGTTTCACCTGCCCTATAATCTAACGGGAGCAGGCCTAATAGAAAAATATAATGGGATCATGAAGGCTGCTCTGAAGGCACATTTACAATCCTTGCAAGGGTGGACCAAGGGGCTTTATGAAACCCTACGAGACTTGAATGAGACCAAGGGATGGCAGACCCAGTGCTTGATGAATGTTGCAGACAACTTGGGCTTCCCTGCTTAGTATACAAATTACAGGCAAGGACACCTCACTCAAGCCACAAGTTGGCACCATGAATAATCTTCTGCTCCCTGCCCATGAGGACATGGAGCCCAAGAAACACAAGGTAAAATGTCCTTGGAAGGTGCAAGTAGTACCAAAATGGTGTGGTCTCCTTGCACCTTGGGGGAGATTGTTAGAGGTTGGGGGATCAGTAAACGCTCCAGTAATCGGTGCATGGCCAGCAGAGGAAGTAGTTGACACCCCTATTTTCATGGCAAAGGGGACATTAATCATGTCCATGTGGAAAATTAGAACCCCCCCTTTGGTACCTGATATAGTGAACCAGCCACAGATATCAGGCCAAAGGGTGTGGTGTCAAAGGCAAGGACATGCCCTGATACAGGTGGAGCAGTTGACTCAAGATGAAAATACAGCCTGTATCCTACTGTGGAGGGCAGACCTACCCCTCCTCATACCTATTAAACATCAGTATTACTCCCCATTTCAGTGGTGCTTCTGCGAGTGCGTATGCAGTCAGTCTGTGTGGATCTCCCCCCTCCCCCCCTCCTTCTTCTGGTGCACCAGAGTTCGAACTGGAGAACGCTGCATTCCTCAGCTCACCCTTTTTTCCGAACTGTTGCTGGGAGGAGTGAATTAATTCCTCTTTCTTTGGTATATTGTTCTATAGTGTCTGTATCTCAAATAAAGGCTCTATCATCACCTTTGTTTGCTTTACATTAAGAAAAACAAAAAGCCTTCTCAAGTGACCTGGGACACTGTGTCAGAGCCACATGAGGAAAAAGAATTGGTGATTGCACAGTTACTTGTGTTATGGGGGATGCCAGCTGCCCTATACCTAGGGCCCCTGGATGGAATCAGAGGCCTTATGCTGAATTGACTATTTTTTGGTCCCAGAACAACATAGAGCAAGTGAGTGGTGTTGGCAGACAGGAATGTAGAAAACTTAATTATTTATGGTGATCTGACTAAATTCCATGTAGATAGGATGATGGTTGGTGGGTTTGGGGGACAGACTATCCCTGTAACCCACACATGGTTGAAATTGAGGGTTGGGCATCTCCCACCCTGGGAGTATAAGGTGTCTATTGCCCCAGTCCCAGAGTATATACTAGGCACAGATATACTATGGTGTCTGACTCTCTGGACAACAGTGGGAGAGTTCAGACGGAGAGATGTATTAGTATCTGGGAGGTGCAGGTGATATTAAGAGAACACGTTAAACATGAAATTATATGCCTGCCACATCCTTGCTGGATCACTAATACTGAACAGTGTAGATACCTAGGGGGCCAAGAGGAAATGCCCTGAAAGGTGCAGGAACTAGAACAAGTAGCAATCATAAGACCTGCACAAAGCCCATATAATTCCCCCATGTGGCCAGTATGGAAGTCAGATGGCTCATCTGTACTGGGGGCTCACTCTTCGGATTGCACAGTGGGGCACCCAAGAATGGAATATTCACACCCGACCAATCTGCAGCAGAGATATGTGGTTAGACATCTGGAATGTGTTTAAACACAGGACCGTACATGTCTACCATGTTTCCAGCCACAAACCTCTACAGTCATTGGGAAATGATGAAGCTGACACTTAGTCGAGTTTGATGGATTGAAGATGGATTGATGGATTGAGAGCATCGCCAACTGGTTACATCAGAAGCTGTGGCATACAGGACAGAAGACAATGTGGGCAGCTGCTAAAG